CAAAACTCTTTTTGAGGCTGTACAAGACCTAAATACGGCCTCACTTAGAGGCCCACAACACCATTGTACCTGAATAGAGATGTGAACCTCCTGGGGAAGGCCTAAAAGAGAGCTGCGAAGAGTGTCATGGAGGTGAGGCGAAAACCCTAATAGGACAGGCTGAAAGATTTAGGAATCTGCTCTCTAAGCTACCGTAGATTATGTGGTGACTTGATAGCGGCTTGCAAAATACTAAGTAACGCAATTCATCCGAACAGTCGAATCCCACCAAATGGCCATTATGGCGACCTTCGTGGTAACCCAAGGAGAATCGCCCACCGAAAGGTAAAAACCCTCTTGCGTTCACACTTCTTCTCTCCTAGAATTTGCTGCCACTGAAACGCATTTCCTAATGAGACTGCTACTGCCCCGTCTGTTGACAGCTTCGGGAAGAGTCTAGACGGTTACGCAGTGACGCACGGTTTGCGTTCGTGCAGCTGGGATATAGACTAGGCTGACATGGCCTACTAACTCAGCTATGCTAGCCCACTATTGAACGCGTTGTAACACCGCTGTCACTGCGAACTTGGCTGAACCTTATACTTCCCTATAAACGTCCCTCTGGTCACTATCTCCCAGTAGAATTACTATCTCTGTTCCCATGAGCCGTCCAATAACGTCATTTTCCCCTTCTCTTCCTGCTGAATTTACGCCCTCTCACTATTAAAAGCCCTGTCCATCGCCCCCCTCCAAAAATCTGCCAATGTTTCTCGTTCTATACTGTTTCCTCTTTCTCAATCGTCTTTTTATCTACCGTTTATTTTTCTATGCGCATTCACTCCCCCATTTCCATGGATATGGTTTCCAACTCCTTCTTACAACCAGTTGAACCGATTGTCTGCTGGCACGACACTTGAGGAACCCATCTCAACTACAGTCCTTGGAAAAAACAACACATACTCCCTACAAATTTAACCAACACCCAACCGCCAGTCGGGCTAACCAGGGCTGCGGCAGGCAAGTGGGCAGGCCTATTATATTATTATTTTTCCCTTGGGTTCCTAGTGGAACATAGAGCTCCAGTAGCACACCTCACTCGAACTCTGTCCTCTGCGGTCTTTTAAGCCTCGCTCCACGACTGCCTACAGGCTTTCATTTCCTCACATGATAAATTCTACATCACCCTGACCTCGGACACCCAGCTCGTCTTTTCCGCTTCGGATTCCACTCTAGGGCATGGCCTGACGCGTGATGTTCCCAACCGGCCTTCTCAGTGTATGCCCAATCCAACCCCGCTTCCTTCTGCATATTCGTCGGGTGATAGGTTCTTGGTTGATTTTTTGTCAGCCGGGGTTCCTTGTTGCTTAATCTTTCTGGCCATTTTATCTCGGGCACCAAGCGTAGACAGCTGTTGATGAATGCTTACAGTTTGTTGGAAATGCGTTTCGTAATGCGCCAACTTTCTGAACCATACAGGAGCACTGACTTACTTGACTGAATTAGTGTTGGAAATCCGGATCTTGTTTACGCTTTACAGTGAGTGCAAGGCAGTGCAGTAGATCTCCACACTGATTTCGGATTAATTCAGAAAGGCCTGTCTTGCTACCTTTCCGATCTTGATTTTGAGCACCCTCGTCTGTGCCTGTCCTGCCTGCAGTTGAAACGGTGCTGCCTAGGTGTGTGAACGAGACAACTTCCTTGAAGTCTCTCACATTGATGGTGATTAGCGCTTGTTGTCGGTGGGTGCCTTCATCACCGTCTTCCCTACATTCACCTGAAGTCCCGTCTTCGTAGCCCTATCTCTTCTGTCACCTTGTTGGTTTTTTCCTGTAGATCTTCTGGTTTGTGCAACAAGACAGACGTAAATCATCATCGATGAAATCCAAGTCTTTTTGGATCTTTTCATCGGTCAAACAGCATATGCCGCTCTTCTCGCTCGTCACAGTTTGTCGCATGATTCAGTCCAGTCGATCACAGTCAGGAAGATCATGGGTGATAGTAGGCAAACTTGTCTAACTCCTGTCTTCACTTTACTTCGAAGGCGTCGTTGAGCTTTCATTTGTGAATCACTCGGCATGTGGTGTCTTCAAGTAGCTGTTGAATTAGGTTGATAAAGGTTTGTGGCACAAAATCCGAAGTGTTGAAGCAGCTGCTGACAGATTACTTCTCGATCGACGCTATCGAAGGCCCTTTCAAAATCGGTGAAGTTGAGGTAGAGACTTGACTACCATTCTATAATTTGTCCGGCTATGATGCGTAGCATATTGTTATAACTTGATCCGCAAATGACTTGTTTTTCCTGAAAACGGCCAGCCTGTGCCTAATGTAATTTTCAATCCAGAGCATTCTTCAGTCTCCCCGGGATGATGAGGCCGAATATTTTACTTTCTTTGCGTTGACAAAAGCATGAATACACATCAGTTATTGCAAAAGCTTATCATTTATTGATATTTGTGCCTTGAGTTCCTAATGAAATATAGGGCTTCACTAGCACGTCTCTAATGAGCTATGTTCTCTGGAATCTTTTGGACCTGGCTGCACGATAGCCCAGAAACTCTCATTTCTTTCTCATACGATCTCTTCCATGTCACTCTCACCTCGGACGACCAACTCGTTGCTTCCCATCTGGTTCCCACTCGATGGCCTGGCCTGACACGTGATGTCCCCAGTCGGCCTTCTCAGTGAATGCCCAATCCATCCCCACTTCTGCATATTTGTTGAGTGATGGGTTCTTGGTTTGTTCGTCACCATCCAGAGTTCCTCGTTGCTTATTCTTTCTGGCAATCCATCTTAGCTTCAGTGTCGAGTGAGCGTGAGCGGTAGCTGTTGATGAATGTCTGTAGTTTGTTGGAAATGCTTTCCGTGACACGCCAAGTTTCTGAACCATACAGAAGTACTGACTTGATGTTGGTGTTGAAAATCCGCATCTTGTTCCACATGCTCAGTGCAGAAGATCTCCACACTGGTTTCAGGTTAATGAATGCCTGTCTCGCTTTTCCGATCCCAACTTTGACATCCTCGTCTGTGCCTGTGGCGCCTGTAGTTGAAACAGTGCTTCCTAGATAGGTGAAGGAGGTTACTTCCTTTGAGTTTCTCCCATTGATGGTGATTGAAGCTTGTTGTTGCTGTTGTTGTTGGTTGGGTATCTTCATCACCTCTGTCTTCTCTATATTCACTTGAAGTCCCATCTTCCTTCGCTGCCTCTTCTGACAACTTGTTAGTTTCTGCCTGTAGATCTTCAAGTTTGTGGGACATCAGACACAAGTCGTGCTTGGCGAAATCCAGATGTTCTAGGTTGTTTTCCGCAGTCCAGCCAGCGTATCCCCCTCTTCTCACTCCCCACTGTTTGTTGCATAATCCAGTCGACTACAATCAGGAATATCATGGGTGATAGCAGACAGCCTTGTTTCACTCCTGTCTTCACTTCGCTTCAAGGCATCACTGAGGTTTCCATTGTGAGTTACTTGGCATGTGGCATCTTCATATAGATGTCGAATGAGGCTGATAAAGTTTTGTTGTATTCCGTAGTATTGAAGCAGTTTCCAAATTACCTACCTGTCGACGCTGTCAAAGGCCTTCTCAAAGTCGATGAAGCTGAGGTAGAGCGTTGACTACGATTCTATACTTTGTTCTATAATGATGCGAAGCGTTACAATTTGTTCCGCACATGATTTGTCCTTCCTGAAGCCAGTCTGTTCCGGTCGTAGCTTTGAATCCAGCGCATCTTTTAGTCTCTCCAGGATGATGCGACTTAATATTTTGCTTGGTGTGGGTGGACAGGAGCGTGATTCCGCGCCAGTTCTTGCAAACAATTATGTCGTCTTTTTTCTGTGCAGCTGGATGAGTTCCATCTGGTCCTGCTGCTTTCCCGAATTTCAGCAGTCCGATGGCATTCAAAACTTCTGCTTTTGTCGAAGGGCCTGTGCCCACCGGTAGTCCTGTCGTTGCTGCTGTTGTCTTTGGAAGGGTAGCAGATGGTGGCGGTGGCCGATTCAAGAGCTTTTGAAGTGGTCATCCCACTGTTTCCTTTGTCTCTCGTCTTTGGCAATTAGGTTTCCTTCACTATCTTTTATTTTTCATCTACGTTGACCTCTTCCCTATATGGAGAGCTGCTTAGCTGATGCAATGCTGTCACGTCTCTGTCTCTCCTACCGGCAGCCAGTTCTACTTCACTGACCAATGCGTCGTAGAAGTGTCTTTTTTCTTTCCGCACACTCTTCACTCATTTGTCAAGTATTGAGCTCTGCAGTTTCTATTCAGTTACTCTTTTGGTTGTTCATACGTGCACTGCACTACACTTGTTCATCTTCCGCCTCACCATCTCTCTCTCCCTCCTCTATCGACTTCCATGTGTCCGTCGAGATCCGTTCCTTGTTAGGCTTCTTTTTCCTTCCAAATATGGCTATGTATGTTTCTTTCCACATAGCTTTCAAAAAGTCCCAGTGTTCTTCCATGCAGGCTCCTCCAAGGATGTTGCTCAGTTTCACCCATTTTGTTCTGATGGCTGACGAGATGTCCTTTGTAGTTTTGTCCTCCAGTTTCTGGGTGTTGAAGTTGAACTGTAGCCCATCACCAACTTCTTTGAAGGTTTTCAGCTTGGTTTGAATGTTCCATGTACTAGGTAGTGAGTGGTGCGAAGCTAGATCGGCTCCCCTTCTTGATCTGATCTTGTATCGTGTATCATATTGAGATAAAGTCCGTCTGATTTTTAGTGTAGTGTGTCCATCTGGTGAAATCCATGTCGCTTTGTGGATATCCTTGTGCTTGAACACACTGCCTGACTCCAATCACCAAATTGTTGAGTGCACAGAATTCTGCAAACAATTCTCCATTCTCGTTCATCACCTCACCGAGCGCTTCTCGACCCATGGTTAGTTATCTTCCTGTGTTTTCTGCTCCCAGTTTGACGTTCATGTCGCCCATTATAGTTTTGATGTCGCCAAGTTGATTGGGTAGACCTACTGCATTGGAATCCACCAAAAACTTGGAACCGTTCCGCAAGACCTAAAAGTGAGGGCGAAGAAATCAATTGGTTTACACTAGATCGTAGAGAGATATTGGATATTGGGAGCTACGCGCTATGTTTGGAGACAGAGTTATTTCGATGTTTATTTGAATGTACGCTTTCTTTCGCTTTTATTAATTTTTAGCGTTCTTATTTGTCAATGCCAGCTGGTCAAAAAGTTGTCTCCTGTTATTGATTTCTGTGCTCTGGTCATAATTGGTTGAACGAAGTACGTCGTAGCACGTAAATGAAATGGTTCAAGTGGTTGTTGATGGCACAAAAGCTATCACCTAACTTGCTTCCGCGTCTAGAATCCGTGAATCACTACTTCTTTTGGCTGTTAACCTGTGCACAAATAAAGAGATCACAAAAAGTGGTGGTTAAAATGCGGAAATCCAGTTAATTTTGAGCAGATCCCACTCACATCTCAAGTGACTATTAAGCCAGGGTTTAGAAGATTCAGACAAAGTAGCCTTGATCACTTCTGCAGGGAGAGCATTCCAAGGTTTAATAACTCCTAAGGAGTCGAAATCGTGTCTGATATCTAACCTATATGTGTCCTCAAATATTCAGTAAGTGACGAAGTGGGTGTCCAGCAGTGCTCACGATGTTGTGAGCCATTATCGAATTTCCTCTATTCCCGGTGGTTTGCCTACTAAATCAGTTTGCACTAGCTACTAAAAATGGTGTTAGATATCGTATTATCTTGTGGCTTTTCTGTAGTATTCGAGAATTCCAGTCTCACTTCTGGTGGTGGCAAAATATTGGCCTGACATACGTAGTACATGCATTAATTTATCAACTGAATAAAATCCTGTAGAGGTTTATTCTGGTATTAGTGTAAGTGTTTCCGATAGGTTTCTGAACAACCTTATTGGGAATATATTTCTTGGTATGTACACAGTGATACCAATAAAAAGGAACTCTGGGTGTAATTTTATGATCAAGTCATGTTACGCAATTAGTAAATAATAGGAGTTACCTTAGTTGGCAAACACCTAGGGGTCACCTAGGATTTTTTGAGCTCGAAATGTTTAGCGTAATTCTATATGTACAACATTACTCCCAAAACCAAAACATTTTTTGGTGCAGCCAAAGATTGTTGCCTTAAACTTTTAAATGCTCAGAAATGCACCCAGTTATTTGGAAAATTATTTCTTTTGTCTTCATTGGAGTACTCAAGGTTCTTTCGGGGTGCTTGATGACAAAAAATTGCAGATTGTTGTCATTTACCTTAGTGTCAAAATAGCATATTATGGTGTTACTGGTGTTACCACCTAAACTTACTGTCATGTCGTTTGTGAAAAGTACCTAGACTGTTGCTGGTGTGAATACTTATCACAGCTCGCGAGTTTTAATTAACGAGTTGACAACGGGTATTAAGCTTAGAGTTAGGAATGAAGTTTCAATGTTCAGTCTCTAAAGAATGAGAAGTGATAAAAGATAATGCTGGTGGGACACTGGAATTCTATCCTTAAAACAATCAACGTTTGTTAAGATAGAAGTGCGGTCTTTATGTCTAAGAGTAGCAAGTCACTTACCTATACTAGTATTTGAATCCGGTAATATTGTGTGTGCAGATACTTTTTGCATCGCAGAAGCTGATATTGATTCACAACTCCGTAAAGGAAATGAATTCCTAAACGATTTGGCCATGACTTTTGACGTCCTGATGATAATCTCAGATGACAGTTCTTAGAGGGAAATGACAAATAAAACAAACTAGTTCAGTAGTCATTATTTGAAGTGCAATATGCCAAAATGAGGTCACTTCGCATTATTCTATGGGATAATGTAGGGAGAATACGTTGGTTTAGTCGTTCTTCAGAAGATAGGTTTCGAAGGCCCCTGAACATTTTCATTCTAATGCTGTACCCGTACTAATATGCCTACTTCTTATTAAAAGTGTACTATAGCTGAGAAGAGTTTCGGCTAGAGGGAGAAAGTCAGTTGGTGAGTTTGTAAACCTTCATTGGCTCATGTGGCTGTGTCGTGTGTTATGTGTATCTAACCACTATCTGCCCCATCGAACATTTTTAGCTGACATATATTCTAGTTGGAGAAAGATTAGAAGTGATCAGACCAAAATATGGCATCTTTACGAAGTTCTTAATGATTAGTCTGAGTCGAGTAGGGAATGTAGACTTCCCGGTTGGGCTCCTCGTGACAACGGAAACCGGCGCTTGGAGACTAGAGAATATAGCTGAGAGTCGATCACAAGGGCACAGATGCAGCATCACATTTGCACTTTAATCGTCATGCCAAATATGATTATTGTTCCGCTCATCTTTCTCTTTTCACGACTTCCTACTCCTAACCACCTGTTTCTTCATCTTTTGTCCTGGTACACTCTCACTTTGTGTTGATGCGCGGCAACTTGGACTATTGTAAAGTAATACTGCAAGTCCCTATATTGATATTGACTGACTGACTGCTTGTATCCCATGCTGGGAGTGAAGTTTTAAATATGTTGACTAAAAAATCTTCGACTTATCCTTATCAGAGCTCTGTTTGGTCTTCCTTAAGTACGCCAAGATTCAGAACCCTTTAGCAGTCGCCTCCTGAGAGTTAGTTTCCTTTTTAAGGTTATGGCATGGGGATAAAATGTTGGTCGAGTGCTCAGTTAAGTTTTTGGGATCTATTTATGGGGTAGTGAGCCTTTGATCACCACATTTTCGTTCATAAACATTTTATATCCTCACATTTCCACACAAGCAACTTTGGCGCTTAACGGGAGCCCCCTCAAAAAGCTATCTACATGCTTACCATAAACCTTGAAGCTAAGTTCTTTGAAGTCAAAGTACTTTCGCCATACTTGGATTTCAGGCATCAGGAACTAGCTGAAAACATATAAGTTAACCAACAATGTGAATTGGTAAAACTACCAAAATCTGTCGTCTGATTTTGATATGTAGAAAAATTCATGTTGCAAACAAGTAAACCCCATGTAGTTTTTACATAAGCACTTGTTTGTTACCGTCATTTTATTATATTGAATAACACTGTTCCCTTAGATAAAGTAGTTGATGTACGTGTTTTCCAACTGGATATAAGGATTGATTTATTTGATTTGTTAAAAATGTATATCAAGTGTTTCCCTTTTTTAAATTTTGCTTCGAAGACAGTTTGCCTATATTTTTACCTAGCAAGATAGAATTTATGTACTGCACTTGTGGGGACGATCGTTAAAATTTCGATGAAAATTGACTAGTAAACAAGCCGTTCCCTTAACTATTCCTAAGGTTATAAGAACTACAGTCTTTTCTAGATCTTTGATGTAAATGAAAATTTGTGTTTTTTAACCGAAAATGTTTCAATATTGTAGGTCATACACGTTATTATTTGTTTTTTTATCTGTGCTGTTGGTTGACGTTCACAAAGCACTTGAGTGGGACTACTTAGTATTCAGTTTGGAATGGCCAGCTACTTATTGTTCCTCTCATACGGTAAGTTCACGTTAAGAATTTCGCATTTAAGTACATTATCAGATGATAGATTGTACTTTTTCCTAAAGTTAATTAGTGAGACTCATGTTATTTCAAAGTCCACTAGACTATACATCTGTGTTGACGTTTTCTATGCACAGTTACACGTGACGACTGTCATTTTAAGTGCTCTTTTTATCCTATGCACTTGCACAGTGGTTAAGGAGCACAACTGTCAGTGCTATCTCGTAGTATGGTGTGAAATATTGTCTGAATCTTCATGAGAATGATTAATTTTCTATTGTGTGTTGACTTAAGTTGGGGCAGTCAAATAATAAATTGCAAATAGAAACCGTACCGTCTTACTTAGTTTCATGTACACCAGGTTGTAAATCACACTGAGAAAGTGATGTTACTTGGTTTACTAAACTGAAGAGTAAATTGGTTTAAAAACTATCGTCTAGTAGATGGTTGGATTGTCTAAACAACTGAGTCACAGCCTCACATTGGATGTCTAGCATACTGAGGAAACTGATTTTGCAGTGGCAATTAGAATTTAAATTTACAAGTGTTTGATTTAATAGTACTGGATGGTTAGTACTTGATGAAATTCATTGAATGTGTATTGCCTTTACACCTTTATTACTTTTAGCTTAGAATAATTGAGTAAAATATATTGTTTTTGTGTGGCTAGGTTACTCATTCTTGAAAGTGTTTGACAAATACAGTATATTCATCTTGGTGACTCAGTGGAATCCAGGACGCACTTTTCGTTTTATTCGGGACTCGTCAGCTGGATGTACCTGCACCCCAGCAAGTGACGTCGTTCCCAACGAGACTCGAACTCAGTACCCATTGTTTCGAACGCCTAAGCGTTAGTCACTAGGCTACTGGGGCACGAGGACTACCACTTGTGTAACAGGTTTCACCTGTTGTTGTTTTTTACTTGTAACTTCCCGTTGTCGTGCAGAGTCGAATTGCTCGACCTCAAATATGCTTTTTTGTCATGAAAATACTTAGGTTGGATATAATAATTTCGTGGTTTAAACAGATACCTGTCTCAACTTTCTTCGGAATGACATTATATTGTTCACTTCATCCAGTTAGTCTGTTAAGTTTTGAGAGTTGTAGCTTTATAATTAGCAAACTGTAAAACGTTCTAATTCTGTAACGACATGCATGTTCGTGTGCTCAGCTGTAAACCACATTTGTTGTGTTCTACTGTGTGCAACTGATTGTCTAAATATCGATTAACAGAATAGGGATAAAATTAAGGTGTTATAAATCAGTAGTCTAAATCACTTTTCTTCATAAATCTTTCTTCAGGAATAGTCTCTGTCGAAGTGATTCTAGACTAGAAGAAAAGGATACGTTAGCCGTAAATTTATGAAATAGTTAGAACGGTTGTGAAGTGCTTTTGCTTATTCATCGTTTCCCTTTCTGAGTCGTGCTGTTATCCTCTTGAATAGGTTATCACTCACTTTAGTATATAAGCATGCAGCTGATTATTGGTTTGTTTCTTATTTGTAATTATAGCGCAGGACTGTGCTACGCTGTGCATACGTGTTAGTCATGTAAATTATACTGAATGAAAATTAATACGCCTGACTACATCTAGGAAGGCAAATTATGTTTCTTCATCTCTTCCTATGCCCGACTGGGTGCATCGCAGATGCATTTAAAAATGAGTTCTGCAATCAGCTGAGTGCACTCATCTACTATCTGGTGTTGACGTCGTACTGCTAACTGGGGATTAAATGCACAGGTCAGCCACCTAGGCCCAGAGACGTGTCATTCACGTGACCGATTGCGTTTATTCAGTTGCAAGTCAGATAATGGAAAAGATCTTGACCTTTCTGTAGATCACAGCTTGTTTCCAGCCGGCACAAACATCGGTGTTGGGCTACGTGACGTCCTGCCACACAAGTCTGAACTCAAGTAGATCATATTGGAGTTAGTTGCTTATGGTGTGGATATGTTTAAGACTGCCGTTCCTTCTGGAGCACCTGTCTGGACTCTGACCACACTGTAGTATGCGCCAAGTTCATTTTGCGTTTCTCAAAATGCGATGACATAGGCAAAGTGGTTGCACTTAGTATCGCAACCAAACACTAAACCCAGCTATCGAGCTTTCACAGAGTATAGATGAGCATTGGTTGCACTAACAGCACAATAAAAGTGCTGAGTAAAGGTTTTTGTGGTTTTAAAGAACCTCTCGCTAATAAACACTGGGTCTCTGTATGGTCCTCGCAACTTCTTGATGCTCACTGGTGTATTTTCTCAGGCAGCGAGTAAGTTACTATGCGTAAGCTCCTTTGCAACAGACCGAAGAGCATCTGCGTAAAGACTGTGACGTCTCGTGGCCAAAACGCACCAGTAAAATGGAAGCAGCAGCTCCATCTGGCAACAGTCAGAAGCTGTCTTATCTCACCCAAGCGACTACTAGCAAGAAGCATAGTAACAGTGAGGTGTCCTATGAAGTAGGTGATACGCCGATCACTATCTTTCATAGAAGCCTGGAATGGCTGGTGGAGTATCTCTTGGAAAAGCTATTCAACTAACCTACTGCTTCTGCAACATCTACTTGATTGTCTTATACTAAATGTTCAGTAAACATTGACCCACCTAAAGAAGCAGAGTTCGTTAAGTTACTCCATATTCTATAGCCCCATGGGGCACCTAGCCGAGAAAACCTATTCCCAGCATTTTTTTGAGGACGGCAGCGAGACCTTAGGTAGGCAACTTAGTACGTTGTTTATAAAGGTACGGTAGATTGAGAGCACTCACTCATTATAGAATAAACCCATTATTGTATATATTTTTGAAAAATATTTACATAATGTATATGACAATCATCTGGGTATCAGTCTACTACTGGTAGCATTTAAGTTATTGGCTACTGACACTTCGAAGGCTGTGCAAAACGCGTGAGAAATTGACCCATGAAGAACAGACCTGGTTTCGTTCGAATAATTGGTGCACTGATCATGCGTACGCTCTCCACCAGGTGCTAGAAAGTTGTTGCACGTATTGCACGTCAGCGATGGTTGTATTCCTGGGTTTTATGGCAGCCTTCTATTTGTTGAACAGAATCGTGCTCTATAATTGTCTTTTATAGAGGCGTGTCCCTCATAGTTTTGTTAAAATCTGAAGCACCCCATACTTCAACGCATCAGGTAGAGTGAAGGCTTACAAATTCTATCTCCATTGCTCCAAACTAATGGTCGGGTAAGGTAAGACTGCTTGATTTTACCATTCCTCTTTAACTTTGCCATCGGTGACATTCTCAAAATAGATCCGAAGGAATTATTATTATTATTATTTGTCCTTTGGGTTCCTAATGAAACATAGGGCTTCACTAGCACGTCTCTAATGAGCTATGTTCTCTGGAATCTTTTGGACCTGGCTGCACGACAGCCCAGAAACTCTCATTTCTTCCTCATACGATCTCTTCCATGTCACCCTCACCTCGGACGACCAACTCGTTGCTTCCCATCTGGTTCCCACTCGATGGCCTGGCCTGACACGTGATGTCCCCAGTCGGCCTTCTCAGTGAATGCCCAATCCATCCCCACTTCTGCATATTTGTTGAGTGATGGGTTCTTGGTTTGTTCGTCACCATCCAGAGTTCCTCGTTGCTTATTCTTTCTGGCAATCCATCTTAGCTTCAGTGTCGAGTGAGCGTGAGCGGTAGCTGTTGATGAATGTCTGTAGTTTGTTGGAAATGCTTTCCGTGACACGCCAAGTTTCTGAACCATACAGAAGTACTGACTTGATGTTGGTGTTGAAAATCCGCATCTTGTTCCACATGCTCAGTGCAGAAGATCTCCACACTGGTTTCAGGTTAATGAATGCCTGTCTCGCTTTTCCGATCCCAACTTTGACATCCTCGTCTGTGCCTGTGGCGCCTGTAGTTGAAACAGTGCTTCCTAGATAGGTGAAGGAGGTTACTTCCTTTGAGTTTCTCCCATTGATGGTGATTGAAGCTTGTTGTTGCTGTTGTTGTTGGTTGGGTATCTTCATCACCTCTGTCTTCTCTATATTCACTTGAAGTCCCATCTTCCTTCGCTGCCTCTTCTGACAACTTGTTAGTTTCTGCCTGTAGATCTTCAAGTTTGTGGGACATCAGACACAAGTCGTGCTTGGCGAAATCCAGATGTTCTAGGTTGTTTTCCGCAGTCCAGCCAGCGTATCCCCCTCTTCTCACTCCCCACTGTTTGTTGCATAATCCAGTCGACTACAATCAGGAATATCATGGGTGATAGCAGACAGCCTTGTTTCACTCCTGTCTTCACTTCGCTTCAAGGCATCACTGAGGTTTCCATTGTGAGTTACTTGGCATGTGGCATCTTCATATAGATGTCGAATGAGGCTGATAAAGTTTTGTTGTATTCCGTAGTATTGAAGCAGTTTCCAAATTACCTACCTGTCGACGCTGTCAAAGGCCTTCTCAAAGTCGATGAAGCTGAGGTAGAGCGTTGACTACGATTCTATACTTTGTTCTATAATGATGCGAAGCGTTACAATTTGTTCCGCACATGATTTGTCCTTCCTGAAGCCAGTCTGTTCCGGTCGTAGCTTTGAATCCAGCGCATCTTTTAGTCTCTCCAGGATGATGCGACTTAATATTTTGCTTGGTGTGGGTGGACAGGAGCGTGATTCCGCGCCAGTTCTTGCAAACACTTGGGTCTCCCTTCTTCGGGAGTTTGACAAGGTAGCCTTTCCTCCACTCTGCAGGAACCTTCCCTTCCTTCCAGACCTGCAATAGTGGTGTGGCGTGAGCATATCCGCTGTTGTCTCTGCGTCTGTTTTCAGTGCTTCTAGCGGGGTCCTGTCTGGTCCTGCTGCTTTCCCACATTCCAGTAGCGTTATGGTGCTCAGGACTTCCATTTTTGTTGGAGGATTTATGTTCACTTGTAGTTCAGCGGCTGCAGGTGGTATTTGTGGACGAAGTGTAGGTGGTGGTCGATTCAAGAGCTTCTTCAAGTGGTCGGCCCATTGTTTCCTTTGTTTCTCTTCTTTCATAATTAAATTTCCTACATCATCTTTTATTGGTTTCATCATCCAAAGGAATTGCGTGGTGGTATTGTAGATTCGTTACCAGGTGAAAGGCTTCTAGACGTCGAGTATGCGCACAGTATCGTTTTACTGTGCAAAATATTCAGGCTGGTAAAATCGCACTCAAGCAGTTGAAGATCGCTGTCCGTACATACAGTTTCCTCTTTGAACTACGGGTGCAAAGTGGTTCGGTTCTTTAACGTTGGTAGAAGCCTATGCTTGCACTCACTCTTGGTGATGAATCTCTAGAAGTGATGGAGAAGTTTGTTTACCTGGGACTTTTTGTCTGCTAGTGGAGTATTTGACTGATGAGATTTCCAACTGCATATCTAAATCTAAAATGTCATATGCTAATCTCGATGAAATCATCACTGAGAAGGATGGAACTCTGAAAACCTCTCAGCACAGGCTGCCAGAATGTTGGGCAGAACACTTTCAAGCGTAGTTCAACTATTACTTAGCAACTCTTCAGTTCAATACATTGAATATTCCCATTTAGATATTTAAAAAAAGAATGATTGAGCGAAGAAATATATTCCTTTCCAATTAGGTCTTCATCTTGGGTTCTACACTAATATATAGTTTTACAATTTAATCAAATTACTAATCACTTGCTGATGTTTCGGAAATAATGATGTAAATAATCGATAGAATTACTGAAATAGGAAATATGAAACAAGCTTTTCCAATCTTAGTAACTCCATCGATTACTTACATCATTATTTCCGAAACATCACCACGTGATTAGTAATTTGATTAAATTGTGAAACTATGTATTAGTGTAGAGCCCATGATGACTTAATTGAAAAGGAATACCTTTCTCTGAATCAGTCCTTTTCTAAACTCTTCAGTTGCCCAACATCCAGCCTGAACCTGCATGCGATGTAGATTTCAGTCCTCTAATTCTTCTTGAACTTGGGAAAGCCGCATAGAACATGAAACGATGCAAAGCAGCAGGACCTGACAGCTTGCCACCTGAAGTTCTCAAGAATGGAGCTAGAAAATTGCTGGTTAGAGTCACAGAAGTACTAAATTATGTATAGGAATCAGAGATTGCTCCGTCAATCTGGTGCACTTCACTGATCATCCCAGTCTATAAGAAAACACAGAAATCTTCCTGTAAAAACTGTATGGGAATTCGTTCGACTAATATTGTGTCCAGAATCCTAAGGTCCATAGTAATCCAACGCCTAACTGGAGCTTGAGAACATCAAACTCGAGAAAACCGGACAGGACACACACCTGGAAGAGGGTACATCGATCATATTTTCACACTCCAACATAGGCATACCTATCAGCCAATGATCGAAATTTCCCACATTTGCTGACCCAGTGGCGGCATTCGACTCAGTCGACCGTGAGGTGTTGTGGAAGTGTCTAACTGTGAAGGGTTTACCGATCAAGTACATCGCACTAATTATAGCTCTCTACTGGAACTCACACGGCCGTATGAGGGCTTGTGGAGAGTTATCATGAGAATTGACGACAACTCGTGGTGTCCACCACCACAGTCCACTATCACCGTTCTTATTTAACTTCGTCATGTGCCAATAGACATAGCCGTATGTACGTCTGACTTCATAGTAGGTCATTTAGTTGACTTCGATTATGCAAACGATGCTGTCTTGCTAGGTGAAGTCGCTGACGCAATGTAGGGTCTTGTGAATGTGTTGAGCAGGTATCTGAGTGTATAACTGGCTTGCGTTTTGCACCTCTCAAATATGAGATGATGCACCAGTTTAAGGATAGGGGGTGGAGTAGTGAAATATATTGACCATTTCACTTGGGGAGTTGCATCAGTCTGCCGAACTTCGTGGTTGCCGACGAAATCTCAGCTCAGATACAGAAGGCTGGTTTGGCATTTGCTAACTTGCGTCCGTCACCTGTGGCGCCGGTCACATATCCGACTAACTAACAAAGGACACACATACCGAGCTGCAGTCTATTCCGTCCTCTTGTACTTCTGTGAAGCATGGCCAGTAAACGTAGACGACATCAAGTGGTTGCAGATTTTTAATCAGATGTCTTCGTAGCAATGTACAAACGGGGTTAAAGCACCACATGAGCAATGTTGACACCAGGCTACGGGGTAATAGGCAAGACAGGTGAGTCGATTGATGAGGCCATGAACCTTAGTCGACTGAGTTGGCTTACACATGTGCTGCGTATGCCGACCCACCACGTACCTCGACGTGACATGTTAGGAGAATTCGGATTAGGTTGCGAGAGGGTTCAAAGTTGCTAGACAAAAACGTCACATCAGTCAGTACATGAAGTCTCTGACTGTTGGTCTGACTCGTGTTGGGAGATGTAGACTGCCTAGTTGGGGTTGCCGAGACGGAAGGAATCAGTGGTTGAGGACTGTTGATGACATGGCTGGAAATCAGTGACAATAGCGTAGATGTATTCACTCCTTAACATCTTCTAAGATTTGAATATTTGTTCTAACCGTTATCTTCAGATTGTTTATTCTGTCTCGCAACTTTTTCTACTTTGATATCAGTCATTTTCTATCCACCTGTTGTTTGTATACTCTAGTGAAGTGTGGCAATTTGAGGCGATGCACTTGTGTGTGTGGTTCTACGTTGATTTTGTCAGTTATTCATCTCCGTCACTTTTGGTGCCGTCGTGAACTCAGTATTGCTATAAGGGGTTGAGTTTAAAACGCGTCATTGCGAGCAGTTCTACTTTGTCCTTGTGGAACCTGGTATCTCTGGTATGAGGATGTCCGACGGCTGCGTTTGCAATCACCGTTTCTCGTATTCGGCAGAATCACCATTTAAGTAATTCTGAGGTATTTGGGCATAACAGTGGCCGTCATTCATAGAATATTGTAATCTTGAAGCACTGGTTTCGATGGCTTGCGTATGTGTTTTGCATGTTGTCCCGGCGGCTCTCACACCACTCCGTTTTCGTTTCCATTGGGATTGATTGAAAGATTTGAAGAGGAGGCTAGTGTACGACTTGATGGCATGAGATGAAGCATAGTTGTACATATTGATTGGTAACTGGAGAACAACCGATCTCACGTTGTCTAGTTCTGAGTGCTTACCAAATTTTACCGATCATTTTGCAATGTGGCCGGAAGATTTCAGGGGTGACGTCGCTGACTGCAACATTGGGTAACACATGTTTGAATCTAACAGAAGACATCCGATTTCCTCGAGGTTATAGATACGCCTTGCTGACGACTGTCAGAAAGCAAAAAAATCTAGGTTCACGATCTCCTGACGATTGCCTCCACCTAACTTACAACCATTGCAGTGCACCGCAATGATGAACTTCTTAGCTTGGTGGTCAGATTGCGAAGTAATCGATTGAATTCGGTCAGTACTCAGAACTAGACAACATGGGAATACTTGGTTTCCAGTGACCAATCATCCAGTCCTACAGGAGGTTAATTGCGGCCGGATTAGCTCAATGGTAACGTCATTGACTACAACACTGGTTGATGCTGGTCCGAATGTCAGGCCGGATATCAGTTCCATCGATGTCGCAGATGCGCCTTACTGACAAGTTTCAACAAGTACGAAACCTAGGTTCAGGCTTCCTGCCGACCACCGACCAACTCACATCAATCGAAGCATAATTGTGTTGGTGCTCCTCGACTCCATAGGTGGTGCCTGAAAGATCATGTGACCGCATAGCTTGATGTGGCGCAAAATCGAAACCGGTACTGATTACGCCGCTTTTTTGTTTCTCCTATTTCTCTAAAGTAAGACGAAAGTAATGAATGCTTCTTTGAGAGTTATTTTGACTTTAGAAGGTGTAGCCAGATATGTGCCCAACATCCATTACCTGGAATTCAAGTGTTGAAGCCAGTGAGCCCAAGTTTCAGCTTCCTTTACTGCTGAATTTTACAGATATTCAAACCAATTTTCTAGTGTTTTGTAGTCTTAGCCTTATACTTGCGTACTGTTACCGTAGTTATTTATTTTGTTTCTTTTTTGTAGTGTAAACTGCCGTACAACATAAGAAATTTCAACATACATGGATTATGGTACGTTACAGTTGTTGTTTTTTGACAGTGAAGATCAACATTTGTTGTTACATCCACTGACCGTTAGTCCAACCAACACATTTGCACATATTTTTAAAATAATTGAGGAAAGTAAGACTGGTTGATTTGCCGTAATCGTAATAGTTTGTTACAACAGGATACTTTGAAAGAACAGTAGCTTTTTGATGAAGAATGTCTTCGAGATCACGCCTAAGTTACACGTTTAAACCATCCACACCACCATCAAAATCATCCTACTGAGCTTCAAATATTCTCCATCATCTCAAAATAAGTAGCTATTTGTTATATTTATCACCTGTTGACTAAATTAGTTGCTCATTATATGATTACTAAACGTTTTCGGTTTCTGTCAAATCTAACCAGTTACCTATTTAGCAGTACATGCTTGTGTTATACATTGAATGGACGTATTAAACAGCTGTTTTATATAATTCTCATGGTTTTTTTGTACGACACACAACCACTTCATCCTATCTGGGTTACTGTGAAGTCTTCGTAAGAATATCAATCAACGTGGAAGCAAAGTCTAACGTAAGGAGCTCTTCGGTATGGCTTTCTCACAGAATGCACTGATTGAGTTGTTGCATGAATGTCTTTTATAGTGGTGATTATCGTCAGACAGTAACCATTGCTGCTGATCTGTGGTTAGATGTGATGAAGTAACGACAAGTGATCAGTCATATAATTTTTTGAATTCCTTCCCAAAACTTAACCTGATGTTTTATCAAGCATAAAATTCTCCTACATTATGAAAATTTGTTGCCTTTCCAATTTCGAAGAGTTTAGCGACTGAATATGAAACGATTTTATGTTGTATGTTCACGTTTAACAATTTAATAATCCACCCCCATTGAGATGTATATTTATAACGGATGTTTTTTTAGCCGCTAGGTGTTTATGTTGGTTTCAGTATCCATCATTACTACAATTAAAACACAGGTAAATCGAGCAATCCTCACAGGAGCCCATATGCCAATAGAGACCGATAAATTCGGTTCAATCAACGACGGAATAATACAAGCAATTATGCTAAAAACCATACCTGTCGCACAAGGAGTAGCTGTTGTGGCTTGGTGATCTGCTGGACAACGCTTTGGTGTTTGAAGCGATCGGCCCCGAGTTCGAATCCTGGGGGGAACAATATCACTCACCGGGAGGCAGGTACATCCAGCTGACGAGTCCCAAATAGGAAGAAATGCCCGTCCTGGATTGCACTGCTAGCCACTATCCATCATTTATGTTGATTAGTATAATTGCTTGTATTATTCCGTCATTGATTGGACCAAATTGATCGATCTCTATTGGCATATAGTCTCCTGTGCGGATGCCTCGATATGACCTGTGTTCTTTACTGTTTATGTTGATTGTTGGCTAATTTTGAATTGTTAATCAAACATCTTGTCATTCTATTTATATGAAGGCCCACCGTTTGGCCGTCTGGTAGCCCGGAAAATTGTTCAAAGAACAAACCTTTTGACGTGAAAATAATTGAGGTAGATATGTAACAGCTGATCATGGTTTATTATATTGAAGATTTTATGAGTTTTATATATTGATTTGCTTTGCTTTAATTTTGATGAACTTTTTCAGTGATTTAGTCTTGAAACTGACAACCAGTGAATCAAAGCTTTGAGTCCCGCTCCATTAACTTGGGCATAGACTGTCGTGCCTTACTTTGTGCTGTCACATAACGTGAGGTTTATAGCCCAACCCAGTAATAACCTCAAGGTTACTTCTCTAGAGTAAAGGTTATACATTCTACATCGGCTGATGGTACCTCTCCGCTACCGAAATCTTGGATAAAACAAGGCCTGAACCCATAGACCACTACTCAGAAATCGATTACCTTTGCCAATGGGTTATAGCCTCGGTCTTTCGGACTTAGTACACAAACCTATGTAGGGTTTCTGAGTTATGACTATGAATCAGTTAGTGTTTGATTGCTATTTCTAATGCAATTTATAGTCTTTGAGAATCTGTGGCATTCTCTCAAGCAAATAAGAGTACCTTCTAGTTTCAATGAAAGACTTTAGGAAATGATAGTAGATTTTTTATCATCTGGAGCTGAAACATGAAACTTTTTAAACGGATTAACTTCGAAAACTAAACATTTGTCTAATTTGTAGTTATTTTTGTTAAGCCTATATAAGATAACCGTGATTCGTCACACTGGCTTTGCAAATATGAAGTAATGATTCAAGGTGAAATTAAAACCTGAGTTGCAGCAAGACTTGGACTACTGGCCTCCGAATTACCGACCTGGTAATGTATCAGATAAACTAGTTAGACTAAGATTGACGGGTCAATAATAAGTCTGAATTCTGTTTCAATGTAGGTCCCTTTAAGGTTTCGTGCATGATTCCTCGTTGTCGAAACCATCTGTCAAAACCAAGATTATTGACCAGGCACTCCTTTTTAATTCATCACGATTAAAACTAAGGCAAAGTGGCGAAGCTGGGTAGCTTACATGGTATCATTCATATGAAAAATAGATAAGACTTTTGGTCTTCAAGGAAAGACCTAGACATGATCAGCTGTCGAGACTCTTAGCTTGACTAGTTCAGTCTATGATTAGTTACTCAGAGGCTACTGGTTCAAAATCGGCCAGATACAGTTACCGGCCTATATGTAGACATAGTGCTGTCAGATATTATTATTCACCTAATTTATGTGGTTACATATAACATGTGATATTTTTACTGTTATATCCAAAGGAATTAAGGTTTATGAAATGCACTCGAATATACAGATAGACAAAATCAACGTAGAACCACACACACAAGTGCATCGCCTCAAATTGCCACACTTCACTAGAGTATACAAACAACAGGTGGATAGAAAATGACTGATATCAAAGTAGAAAAAGTTGCGAGACAGAATAAACAATCTGAAGATAACGGTTAGAACAAATATTCAAATCTTAGAAGATGTTAAGGAGTGAATACATCTACGCTATTGTCACTGATTTCCAGCCATGTCATCAACAGTCCTCAACCACTGATTCCTTCCGTCTCGGCAACCCCAACTAGGCAGTCTACATCTCCCAACACGAGTCAGACCAACAGTCAGAGACTTCATGTACTGACTGATGTGACGTTTCTGTCTAGCAACTTTGAACCCTCTCGCAACCTAATCCGAATTCTCCTAACATGTCACGTCGAGGTACGTGGTGGGTCGGCATACGCAGCACATGTGTAAGCCAACTCAGTCGACTAAGGTTCATGGCCTCATCAATCGACTCACCTGTCTTGCCTATTACCCCGTAGCCTGGTGTCAACATTGCTCATGTGGTGCTTTAACCCCGTTTGTACATTGCTACGAAGACATCTGATTAAAAATCTGCAACCACTTGATGTCGTCTACGTTTACTGGCCATGCTTCACAGAAGTACAAGAGGACGGAATAGACTGCAGCTCGGTATGTGTGTCCTTTGTTAGTTAGTCGGATATGTGACCGGCGCCACAGGTGACGGACGCAAGTTAGCAAATGCCAAACCAGCCTTCTGTATCTGAGCTGAGATTTCGTCGGCAACCACGAAGTTCGGCAGACTGATGCAACTCCCCAAGTGAAATGGTCAATATATTTCACTACTCCACCCCCTATCCTTAAACTGGTGCATCATCTCATATTTGAGAGGTGCAAAACGCAAGCCAGTTATACACTCAGATACCTGCTCAACACATTCACAAGACCCTACATTGCGTCAGCGACTTCACCTAGCAAGACAGCATCGTTTGCATAATCGAAGTCAACTAAATGACCTACTATGAAGTCAGACGTACATACGGCTATGTCTATTGGCACATGACGAAGTTAAATAAGAACGGTGATAATGGACTGTGGTGGTGGACACCACGAGTTGTCGTCAATTCTCATGATAACTCTCCACAAGCCCTCATACGGCCGTGTGAGTTCCAGTAGAGAGCTATAATTAGTGCGATGTACTTGATCGGTAAACCCTTCACAGTTAGACACTTCCACAACACCTCACGGTCGACTGAGTCGAATGCCGCCACTGGGTCAGCAAATGTGGGAAATTTCGATCATTGGCTGATAGGTATGCCTATGTTGGAGTGTGAAAATATGATCGATGTACCCTCTTCCAGGTGTGTGTCCTGTCCGGTTTTCTCGAGTTTGATGTTCTCAAGCTCCAGTTAGGCGTTGGATTACTATGGACCTTAGGATCCTGGACACAATATTAGTCAAACGAATTCCCATATAGTTGTCACAGGAAGATTTCTGTGTTTTCTTATAGACTGGGATGATCAGTGAAGTGCACCAGATTGACGGAGCAATCTCTGATTCCTATACATAATTTAGTACTTCTGTGACTCTAACCAGCAATTTTCTAGCTCTATTCTTGAGAACTTCAGGTGGCAAGCTGTCAGTCCTGCTGCTTTGCATCGTTTCATGTTCAATACAGCTTTGTGAGCCACTACGTAAGGAGCGCAGCAATTCAGTGTTTTGTTTTGTGGGCGAGGTTGGTCATTCTGTGAGGTTATAAATTTTTCTTAGTAGAATCGGCTAGAACACGTATTACGTATGGCTGTTCAATGAGAACTAGTGTACTCATGTGTTACATGAAGTAGGCTTATCGAATGGGAAGTGTAGGAGTGGTCAGACGAAAAGATATTATCAATCGATGTAGTTTTTTGACTTTTGCTGTGAACTGTTTTGGCTAATATAGATTACCAGGTTTGTATCTGCATGACAACTAGTTGAATTAAACCGAACAAATCTCCAGATGATGAGGATTTGGAGAGAAAGTGCCTCAATTTAATTTGTTACACTTCTGAACTCTTCAGTACACGAACATGTTTACTGGTCATCACCAAACTGTTTTGTCGTTTTTAACAACCTTCTCTCTTGTTGTTCTGTTCATTTCAGTATCTTAGAACTTCTGTACATTCTTCTTTTCTTTTTTTAAATCTGAAAACTTGAAGTAATTCACTTTTGCGTAAGATTCTTTTTTGTTGTTTTTCAATAATTCAGTGAAACAGAATCGATAAAGGTAGGAAAATACTTTGGGAAAGAGGGAGGAGGGAGATGAAGAACAATTAAATGATGGTTCATAAAATATTTAAGAGATTTAGGGGAATAAAAGTGTTTATCATTGGTATCATTTTAACTGACTAATCATGTGGGACATTTTGATTAACCCCAAACAAAGTGTCTGTTTTATTGTATGAAGCATTATTATTCAGATCTTTTAGGGAAGTCGAAAATCCCTGAATATATTCAGAAAACAGCAAACTGATTCAAAAGACCCACTAGAAAGGCTTTAAACAACTAAAGTCATCATCGTTGATTTTTTTTGTACATAGAGATGACTTTGGGGGATACATTTGTTAATCCTACCGTATTTTTTTGATCTTTGAGACAGCAAGAAACCCATCAACGGAAGGATCTAAAGGTTACTTACTGTTCAAGCATTCACAGGTGTATATCAGCGTATATCTCGTTATATTAGCCTATAAAGTTGCAGAAGGCTTAGGTTGGTTGACTTCAACTAGGATATACTTAAAATTCGCCTTAAGTTTACAAACTGACTAGCTGACATGTCTATCAATATGGCTTAATGTGATCACTCTTTGATCGCTTTATATTTAAGATTGTTTCACATTATAAACTGTCTGATTTACTCAGATCATTATTTTATTGTAATAATATCTGTGATGAAAGTGATACTTTCAGCAAATGGTTTAACCAATCAAAGTATATATTTCCTTTCTATCTGTTTCCTAGCCTATATACAAAGATTTACAAGATGAATGGGTAAACTTGGAAGATTATGATAATCCAAAAGATTTTTGGTATGCTTTTATTTTTTAGTGAATGTACTATGCAGTTGTAGGGGGTTTTGGTTTGTATTACGCCTGTGTTACAATCGTATGTTACTGAACAAACGTTTTTGCCTATCTGAATGAAAACAATACCTAGTTTTGTCCAATGGTGCTTGCTAGTTGTGTGCATGTGTTTGGCGGTCAACTAATGGGTCATACGCTAAGTTATTTGGTAGACGATATAGTGTAGTCTTCCACATCAAATGCATTCATATGATCTCATGCATTTATAATCTTGATCAAGGAAATTCTGTTCAGTGAATTGACTTGACAAATTTGTTCTCAGAGAAATAAATAGGATGAAAATGAATATTTAGTTCTTATCCGTGAATTTTTGCCTATTTAAGTTCCATACAAGAGTTTGAAAATCAACATTTTGTACCAATAGTGTAAATAGGTTTCAGGAAAACTAGGGGATAAATAATGTATAGACCCCATGGATTAATCTACTCCCTGGAGTAGAGTATGCAAATGATGCTGTCCTGCTAGGTGAGGTCGCTGACAAAATCCAGGGTCTTCTGAACGTCTTGAGCAAAAATTTGAGTATGTTTGGCTAATATGCATTTTGCACCTGTCAAATGTGAGATGATGCTCCAAGACTGGTCTCCAACTACTCTCAGTTTAATGGTAGGGACTGAAGTCGTGGGATGTGTCGACCACTTCATTTATTGATGGTGTCGCATCACCTAGCTGAACGGGGTGGTTTCTGACGAAATCTCAGCTCGGATACAGAAGATCAGTTTGGCGTTCTACAACTTACGTCATTTCTAGCGCCGACTGGTAAGATATCCGACTTTTTATCAAAGAACGAGTATGCTGCGCTGCAGTCCGATGCTTCCTGTTATACAGCTGTGAAACATGACCGTTAAAAAGTAGGAGATATGAAACGGTTTCATGGTTTCGATCACGGGTGTCTTCATAGCATTGGTCGTGTCTCATGGAATCACCGTATGAAGAATATTGAGGTCAGGCTAACGGGTACTACGCATGACAGATGAGTCGATTGACAAGGTTGTGAACCTTGGTCGACTGACATGGCTCGGACATTTACTGCACATGCCGAGCCACCACCGACTTCGACATGACATGTTAGCGGGAGTTGAATTAGCTTAAAAGAAGGGTGAGGGTGGCCAAACTAAGGCGTCACACAGTCGATAAATTCGTTAATTGTTGGTCTGAACAGTGTGAGGGGATGTAGACTACTCGATTAGCGTCTCCGAGATGAAAGAAATCAGTGGTTGTGGACTGTAGATGACGTGGCTGAAAATCGGTGACAATGGCGTAGATTTATTCACTCCATAACGTCTTCTAACTTCTGAATATTTGTACCAACCGTTGTCTTCAAACTGTTTATTGTGTCACAACACTTTTTCTACTTTGATATCAGTGTTTTTCTATCCATCTGTTGTTTGTTTACTCTAGTGAAGTATGAAAATTTGAGGCGATGCACTTGTGTGCGAAATTCTGTTTTGATGCTTGTCTGTTTAGACTTATTGTCGTCACTGGCAATAATAGATGTGTAACTTCTATCATAGCCCTACCATATTGTAGATTGGATCAGTAGTAAAAGTTTCTGGTAATAACCCTTCAAAACAACCGTCTGATTTAGTCTAGTCATCCTCACAGAAACGCAAGTTATTACCTCGTTCCAACTGCTAAGACTTCCAAAAACTGATAATGTCATTTGTAAAGTTGAAAATAATTTCTCGTGCAAATAAAATTTCCATGATTGTATCAACACATAAAAAAAAACAACTTAATTTAATGTTTTTATGTTTAGCGTAGACATTAGAGAAAGTTCTGCTCATGCTCCTGTGAAAGGAAGCCAGATTAAAGTTGGTTTTATAAAGTATAGTATTATGACAACAAGAGGATGTCGAATACGCGGATCACATAATGGTAGCAAAATATAGTTAGGCAAAGTATTATTGATAGCATCTGGCTAGGGAAAGAATACTTTAATTCTGAAGTATGCTACCCAATAGCTTTCAATGATGAATATCCTTTGAAACCATCTGTACTCTTATACATGACCAAAGCTTTTTTAGCGTTTTCTTTTTTTTTCTTGTTCAAGATTGTGAGTATCTGTACAACGACTTCTTTCTTGTGCGAGACAGAAGCCTTTTTCGAGGGACTGTCGTTCTACTTTGTTTGTAATCAACCACCTAAGCCTTTATACTTTACGTCTTTTTTTCTCACAACGTTTCATTGTGAATGATATTTTCCTTCGTATACAAACGTTAGTTTCTGAGTTATATTACTTCTCTGATTGGTCTCTGAAGGCCAAGCAATTTCATCTTGTCTAGTCCTGAATTCTATTGATGATTTTGAAATGTGGCCATCGAGCTAAGGAGGCTCACTATCGCAGTGCACTTTGATGGATGTTAGTTGGTTGAAGTTAATCACTTCTTTTGAGGTTGCAAATACTCCACACTGATGAGTGCCAACAAACACAAAACATTAGTTCAGGGCTACTTGCCGATTGCATCCAACCAGCTAACATTACATTACTACTGCTTCATGCTTATTTGAAGGTGAATAGTGAGGGTAGATTTGTGGATAAATAATTATTGGGTTGCATGAAAGAAGAGTTGTGATGATGAACACCCCTAAAATAAACGAGAAACTAATCAGTATATAAAAAAAACAATAATAGTTTTCTCATACTTTCGGATCTGTTTATATTAGTAGTAAAGGGAATGAATACAGCTTTTCCACCGAAGAACACCAACAAGTTGACAAAAGGCATCTGGCCCCAAATCTTTCAAACTGCAAAAGCAATGGCTATCAGTATTTAAACAACTCGATTTGTGTGTTCAGAAGAAATGCGGGTGTTCCCTCTATAAAATATTTTGACCCCATGTGGGGTTTACAAATTCCTTAACATTCTACCTCATGCATTCTAATTTCATACTGTAGATATCCCTTCATTCTTATAATCTGAAATGATCATTTCACATTCTCGTAACCTGTTTTATTCCTTAACGTCAGTAATATTCTATCGAGGTGTTATTCTTTGTTTTTATTGCATCCTACTTTCATGCACATCCTCCTATTGTTTTTTACTAAACTATCACCTTATAGTATTACATAAACCATATAACTATTTAGCTAATCATTTATTCTGAATTGAATTCCAGTAATAAGTAATTAACTCTGACATTAACGTTCACATAAGACTCTTCTGAAGAGCATTCCTCAATTGTGTCATATTATTAACAAACTGCTATAGGAAATCTCACTATTATTGAGGCACAATTACACAATGTGATCATATAACTAACTATAGATGAAGAATAAGTTATCAAAAAGAATACTCTTCGCTCTTTCAGATGTCTTTTGAAATATAATGGGAGTTTATGAGGACTTAATTATGTATTTTTGAGATGAATGGGGATTTTTTTAATTTAGACGTGGTATTCATCATGGACTGACATGACGATCCCTAGCTGGGTCGTGGGTGCGTACTGCTGAGGAGTCCCATACTAGGACGAAACAGCTGTCCGGGGCTCCCAGATTTTCAATGGTTCTCTAACTGATGTCAGTCCATGATGAATACTACGTCTAAACCTAATTATATCTTTATAGTTAACACTCTTCTATATATTTTTCGATCTTAGTTTCATTCACAATATTCTTGTTTACAGTTGACACTGCTTATTTTCAATATTTATAGGAGTCATGAATGGGGTAAACATGGTGTATGTGCGACAACTGATCCACTTATCTCGAATGAATTGGATTACTTCAATATTTCTCTGGCGATTAAATCGAAAGTGAATTTATTAAGGTAATGTATTGTTTGTTCATTCTAAGTGTTATTGACATTACAGTTAATGACTTTTTACTACTTTGAGGTATCATAGATTTGATACATAATGGTATCGTCTCAGGGTTAATCACATCAAAATGGAATGACTGACTGAAAAAAGTAGATCCTGGTTCAATGATTCAACAGAATTATGTGTGAATTTATTCTCACTGCTGAAAGCAATCGAAACCCCCTCTCTTATGTGATCATATCTCATAAATCCTAAAAGAGAGGCTAAGATTTAGTGATAATGTATCTGACCATAGCACTGGGTGACGCGGGTCCCAATGTTTCAAGAAACATCAGTTCCTTCAGAATTAAAGATACACTATGCTGATAGGTGCCAACGAGCATGAAACCTAGGTTCATGCTTTTGACTGCTTCCAACCATCAAACAACAGATAGAATCCTCTGCATGGCTCAAAACAACAACACCTAACTCCACTTCCTCATGTAACTGCCACTATCTATTTAACTTCAAACTTCTTGCTGGAGATACAGAACATCCATGTTCATGGCAACTCAGCATACCTAGCTCATGTAAACATACCATGGAAACTCTATTGCTTAACTGTATGCTTGTTGTGGTTTCGAAAACTGCTATTTGCTATGGCTGCTAACGATGCATGAATGTCGAGTGTTAGCCACCAACATTCAACAATTTTCTAGTTGATTCTCTACCCGAATAATTAATGGAGGAGACACGATGGACGTGTAAAAACGTGTATTGAGGTCGAAAGACCGAAGTCTTAAAACAAACGAAAATACAGCTAATATATAGATATTTCGCCGTTTAAAATAATCCTATTGATTATATTGTTCGGTCACGGAAGAGTAACCAATTTCATGTTGTCTAGTCCTCAGGGCAGACCGAATCCTATCGATCATAATTGCAATGTGGCCACCAAGCTAGGAGACTCAGCATCGCGGTGCAAATTAGTGAATGTAAGTTGGTTGGAAACAATCTGCAGGAAGCCATGGACCTAGGTTTCGGGCTTGTTAGACTCGTCAGCACAGCGTATCTGCAACCCCGACGGAACTGATGTCCCGCCTTAGATTCTAACCCACATCACTCAGTGTTGTAGTCAGCGACTTTACCACTGAGCTATTCGGGCTGCGGTTGACCTCCTTCAGGACTGGGTTACACGTATTGATTAGTCAGGAGGTCAATCGTGGCCCGAATACCTCAGTGTTAAGTTCGCTGACTACAACACAGTGATGTGGGTTCGAATCTCAGACAAGACATCAGTTCTATCGAGGTTGTAGATACTCCGCGCTGATGAGTGCCAACTAGCACGGAACTGAGGTCCAGAGCTTCCTGCAGATTACCTTCGACCAAATAACAATTGTATTAATTAGCTGACCCATCGTCTGTCTGTCTAACTGTACCAGTGCCTAACTTCTATTTTTGTCACTCATTGGTTATTCCTTTTCAGTGCACGAATTCGATCTCCGTTCCATCTATTTAAAGTAGCTCTCATGAAATATATATGGTTCATGGTTAACATTATTCATAGTTGTGCTTGGTTATCGAGTTACACATAGTTTTTGCAAACATTATGAATTTAATATTATTTGCAGCATTTCAGTAATTAGGAAGCCAAAAAAGTTCACCGTAACTACAAGCACCTTGCTAGATTTTAGCTGAGTTCTTGTTTCGACAAAAATACTAATTCTGTCTAGAAGTTTATGGAAATTTATTAATTGATTTTAAGTTGGAATTCATCATGGACTGACATCAGTTAAAGGAACACTGAACAGCTATTTCATCCTATTAACGTGCTGGACACAGGACCTGAAGGTCCGATTCTTCACGAGGTCGTGGGTGCGCACTGCTGACGAGTCCCATACTAGGACGAAACAGCTGTCCAGTGCTCCCAGGTTTCCAATGTCCTTCCAACTAATATTAGTCCATGGTCAATTCTAACATAAAAGTACTATTTGTTCTGATATTACGTTCTCGGGTTGAGATTAGTTTCATTGTCGTCCTAGTAGAAATTTTGGACAGCAGTAAATTAAGTAGTCCTGATAACACTGAGTTTAGATGTCTATTTATGTTGTTGTACTATAACTGCTTAATCTGCTTTCTCTGCCATTTTGAAAGACAGCCAACAGGCAACGAAATTGTGTTTTATGTAGTCAATGATTTTGGATGTTTTCTTGTAACAACGGTCTTATATAGTGAGAGGTCAACGTTTTTTTCTTTCAGTTCGATTGGTTGGCAATCTAGGAAGCAATCATTGTTGATGAGTTTAATAATAAATTGTGATAACTTGTGCTGCTTTACTAGACATTTTTCTTGAAATCATGAATAGAAAAAACCGTGGTTTTGAAAAAAAAGCAAATATCATTCTACAGGTTGAAATAGCCGAGATTGAAATTATTTGGCTAAGGTTCCCTCTTAGCAACGGGAAATTAAAAGTGTGAATAAACAACAATTGATACCTGTTGTACAAGAAGTGGCTATCGTTCCTCTGTGGTATAGTGGATAACTCCTTGGCGTTTGAAGCTATGGGTACACTAGGTTTCAGTTTCAGTGAGAAGAACATCACTCACTGGGGTGCAGATATATCCAACTGATGAGTCCCAAATAGGACGAAACACATGTCCTGGATTCTACTGCAGGTCAGCAAGATGAATGCTATTTTCAAAGGATTTTTCATTTCAATGTATTTAACTTCATTGAAGGAGTCAGATAGAAGAAATAATGGACACCAACTCTTCTACTTCCTTAGTTTACAATCAACGAGGAGTAGCATACGAATAAATTTGTTGTAGTCTGTTACTCTGAAGAATTTGATATTCTGTGTTTCTTGGCATTGGGATTCCTTTGGAGTTCACAAGATCCTATTGTAATGAAAACCGACACTGAAAATCGCTGTAAATCGTTGATTATAGATACTTGGTATAATGTAGTTTATGCATATATCAGTTACTTACAGGAATCTATCTATCGTTTTGCAATGTCATCAAACTTGGAAATTCACCATCTCGATGCACTTCTTATTAATGTTAAAACCTTGGTGACATGAAGACCTCAGCCTTAGGGACAAAAAATCCTTCGAAGTAGCAGATTCACCCTTTGAACAGACTTAAAACTCAAGTTCAAGGTATCCTGCCGACTTTATTCTCAATTCGTTTTGATTCTAGACACCTAGATATGATTTCGATTTCTGTATTGCTAGAGCTTTAACAGTGCAAGATAAATGTTTTTTTTCTAGAGTAATACGTTGTACCTTGTGGATTTCAGTGAATAGACCCTCCAGAACCGCACCGATTGTCGACAAAATGTTGTGAGATGGAGAGCTGTTGACTGATATGCATTAGCCCTTTGTGAACCGTTTCGGATAGTGTTGACGTCGACTATGCACAGTCTGTCGACTTGCGACTCAAGAGTAAGCTACGCGAGAATAGAAAATTTACATAATCAAATCTTGGTGGCCAGCAGTCCTAGTTTGTCCCTTAAATATTTTTTCATCATTGAGGGGATTAGTATAGGTGATTTGCTGAGTGGCTATACAAAATATTCTTTTGGAAGCTTTCACTAGTCTGCGTTTTAGTAATTTCATCTGCTTCATCTCTGTTTAATTAGAAATTTATGAATAGCCTCTTCTTTCTCAATAAACGTGAGTTGACGTCAGTTTATCATTCCATTGTTGAGTGGTTATCTCAACTTATACAACCCACCAGAAGGTAAATTCCATCTTCTGCAGTCAGGAGAATGTTCTACCTATTAGACCTTTATTATCCAACGGCATCACCTTCCATTGTGGCTCACGAAGTTTAGTGTATATTATTCAATAACTCTTTCATACATTCAGTTGACATTGAACACAGTTCTAGAATACAAAGTAGTCTTTCAAGAAGTATACGGAGACATTCATATTGCCTTACTAAGGCTCTGGTAAATACAAAATGGGAACTAGAATTGTATGTACTAAACCAGCTTTTCCATTCTCTGTCCTTATTCATTGTTTAATTATTTTAACAGACGTCTTGAATCCGTTGGAATCAAACCGAATGATAGAGTCACTTTAAAGGTTAGTCCTGTATTTAATGTATAAAGTTTCGTTTTGGAAAGTACTTCTTTACGTATACGAATTTGAAAAAAGCTAGAAATGTAAAAAAACGAAGATGCACGCACCATTTCATGCCATACTTCTTTCTGGAATTATATAGATCTTATTGAAACACTGTGCAACCATTTAAGAAGGCTAAACAATCATCATTATTCAGATTATGAAGTCAAGTTCCTTGTGGTGTTGTTACATTCGATTACGATAAATATTAACTGATAAAAATCTCGCCTGGTTAACTAGTTCACTAGTTGCTAGACGGTCCTAAGCCCGGGTAAAGAGAGTTGGGCATAGGGCTAGCAACCCTACACCGTAAAACAAATCTAACCGCTAAGAAAACTTCAAAGCACAAACGAAATATAAAAATAATAACAAAATTATTCCTCGCTGGAATCGGAGAGGCGAAGTGACGCCAGTTGGTGAAAGCCTTCGGGAAGCCAATTGGCCGATGTGTCTTCTCTCGATGAAAGCGAAAGTAAACATGGGGACATGGAATGTCCGCACGATGTTTGAACCCAGCAAGGCAGCCCAGATCACAAACGAGATGAGGGGGTATCACATTGAAGTGCTTGGAATTCACGAAAGCAGATGGAATGGGAGTGGACTCCCCAAACTGTTAGCTGGAGAATCAATAATCTACTCCGATATTGTCACCCACACTACAACCACGAGCACACTGAGCTATGGAGCGGCTATCATGATGTCCACCTCCCAAGAGCATCGAAGACTCTCATGCAGTGGGAACCAATCTCCTCATGCAGGATCATGACAGCAAGGTTCAACTCAAAAGGAAGGAAGGAAGGTCACAATCATACAATGCTACGCTACGCACCTACAAATAATGCAGAGCAAGAGAAAAAGGAGGAATTTTACAGAGAATTGCAATCAACACTGAACAAGACGCCAGCCCAGGTGGCGACATCAAAATTCTAATGGGTGGGGTGGCATGAATGCCAAACTGGGAGCAGACAACACAGGAAGAGAACTAAGCATGAGTCGAGAAGCGCTCGGTGAGGTGATGAACGAGAATGGAGAATTGTTTGCAGAATTGTGTGTATTCAACGATTTGGTGATTGGAGTCAGGCAGTGTGTTCAAGCACAAGGATATCCACAAAGCGACATGGATTTCACCAGATGGACACACTACACTGAAAATCAGATTGACTTTATCTCAATCTCAAGAAAATGGAGATGCAGTCTACTTGATGCAAGGTGAAGAAGAGGAGCAGATGTAGGTTGAGACCACTCACTGTCTAGTGCAAGGAACCCTCCAAGTCAAGTTGAAGGCCCTCAAGGAAGCTGGTGATAGACCACAGTTCAAGTACAACACTCGGAAACTGAAGGATGAAACTACAAAGGAGATCTTCACGACAGCCATCAAGACAAAATGGGAGAACAAAATGAGGAACATCTGTGAAGAAAGCTGTGTGGAAGAACACTGGAAGTCTTTGAAAGAGATGTGGGAAGAAGCCTGCCCAGCCGTATTAGGAAGGAAGAAGAAGCAGCGGGACAAGGAATGGATCTCATTAGTTTAAGATAATGCTCCAGAACTGCTCTGAAACTACTCCCAGTTGGTTGATGGCGAAATTTCAGCTCGAATACAGAAAGCCTGTTTTGCATTTGATAACTTGAGTCACCTGTGGCTCTAGCCAGATATCCGACTACCTATCAAAGGACGAGTATACTGTTTTGAGTTCGTTCTGTCCTATTGTACGTTAAAAGTAGACAACATGAAATGGTTACAGGGTTTTGATTACAGGTGTCTTCGTGGCATTGCTCGCGTGTTATGAAGTCACTGTATGAGCGATGTTAAGGTCAGGCTACGGGATACTAGGCAAGACGAGCGAGTCGACTGACGATGTTTTGAACCTTTGTTGACTGAGATGGCTGCGGCATTTGCTGCTCATGCCGATCCACTACCCAGCTCAACGTGTCATGCTAGGAGAAGTTGGTCTTGGTCTTGTCCAGATCAAGTTGTAGGACCAGTGGACAACGTCTCTGACTATCCATCTGAGTCGTGTGGGGAGATGAAAACTGCCTGACTGGAGTCCCTGAGACGATAAGAATCAGTAGTTGAGGGCTGTAGATGACATGGCTGAGAACTGGTCATAATGTCGCAGATGTGTTTACTCCTTGAGGCCTTCTAAGGTTTGAATATTTGTACTAACCGTCGTCTTCAGATTGTTTATTCTCTCACAAAACTATGTCTACTTTGATATCAGTGTTTTTCCACCCACCTCTTCTTTATGTACTATGGTGAAGCGCAGCAACTTGATCTGATTCACTTATGTACGTGGTTCTACGGTGATTTTTTCAGTCAGTCAGTTTACTCATCCGAATCATTTCTGCCGGAACTATCATCTTTCATTAGTGTTCACTTAAAATTTCTAGTGATTAAATTATATTCCTTAATTTATTTCAGACGGACGGACTTCTTGCTCAATTGAAAAAGTTGTTCAATGTCAATGTTTTGGTGTATTGTTCTCTAAAACATGTAAGCGATTTTACATATATAATACATAATGAAATGAGTTTATGATTTAGACAGAAAAAGGATGGTTTGCGATTGGAGTAATCTGATGTTATAGCTTGGAATTTTCTTTTATTGACTTGACTGAATTTCTACTGGGTGATGACTAAAGACGCGATGAAAATCTGGACCGCGGCCGGATTCGAACCAGCTACCGTCGAACTTACCAGCCATAACATCACTCTTTCTGGGAGGCGAATGCATCCAGTTGACGATTCCCGAATTCGGCGAAAAGCGTGTCCTTCATTCTATTAATAGTCGTTATCTATCTCTACCATCAAACTGCAAGTAATTTAGTTAAAACCTCGATGGGAGTTTAGTATTAAATTCAAATATAAGATAGAAATTTCTCTGAGGCTGCAAATGCACTTGATTAATTTGTGAAATCAGTCATAAAACTGTGGATAGGAGAAGCACTGTGATTGCCTACTCTTATTATGATAGGGGTCTATAGTAAAGTAACGCTTTAACTTGCCACCATTAATTTGTCGTCCCATTTCTAGGTTTATTTACTTACCTTGTTTTCTTTACGCTTGGAGTTGATAGATAACTAATATATGAAATTACGAATTTTCTTCTGCTACATGATGGGGAAGCGTCAACAACTGTATGTGTACAACATCAACAATGAATGAATTTGTGAGTCCCGAATCGGGCCACGGTATTTGTGAAGGGAACACCTGCTTTTTCTGAACACATAACTTGAGTTATTTAATCCTGATTACCATCGCCCTTGTAGTCTGAAGGATTCGATGCCAGGTGTCTTTTATCTAGCTCATGCGAACCCAATAAATAAATGGAAGTGACTTGCTTATATCCACCGTATTGTTCATTTGAACTAAGTACGCTAATATAGAACTTGTAATGGTCTTTGTCACAATTTCGCTTAACAACGCTAGGAGGTGTTTGTGAACGCGGAAAATTAAATTCATAGAGCAGGGAAATCTCAATTTGTTGACACTATAGGACCCAAAGAAAACGTTATTGAAAAGAATATTCTATCTTTATTCAAATTTTGAGTTATGATTCCATCGGTTTCCAATCAGTTTACTTGCTGTAAGCAACAATTATAAAGTAGTTCTAACTTAAGGGATCCCTGAAGATTTTATAAACACTTTATTTTCTTGTAATCAAACGTGAAAACTAAACAATTCCTTATTTGTGTGTGTGTGTGTGTGTTCAGCATCAAATGGCCAAGTTATCTGAAGTTCGTGTTTGCATGAATCCTTCACTGAATTTCATCAGTTGTCCAACTTCACAAGATACAGGTGTTAACAATGCGGAACATGAAAAACACTCTTCTACTGTTTGTTCTACAAATATATTTGGCATTGATATGTGTAAATCATACACACCATGGTTAAATCTTTTACGTAGTTGTTCAAGTCAAGAGTCGTGTACATCACCAATGTTATCATCGAATGCACCATGTCCTGAAGAGTTGATATTTCCAGACTTCATATAATGATAGTTAGTAGTAATAATGGGTATTTTATTGCCTTTCTTAAAATTTCTTCTTTGTACTTCATCCTGTTACCATTTCCTCATAGAGGCACCTTTCCTCACCAGCATTACTTGGGAGATGTTTTTTACCTCACTGTTTTAAAATTTATCAACATATGCCTACCATAACAATCTGTGTATGTTTTTTTTATACATTTTAATGCGAAGGAATTTTTTTTATTTTGTGATAAGTCACTTTTATCAGTTACATATCAGATTTTAATGTTTTTTCTTTCTAACTGTTAACATGTTAAATTTCACGTTGGTTAAGGCTTCTTTTCACTATCCGGTCGACAACGGGTAGTATCATTCAGTCTGCACGACTTCTTTAAAGTTGCTATAAAGGCGTATTTTTTCTTATTAAATTGTCATATCACTGTAATTACATCTAGAGTGTGTTGCACACTTTCATTTCACAGTGAGAAAACTTCGTCTTTTTTATATTCATATATGAATTCTAGATGGTGGAGTAAGTAACTGCGGCGCATTACATATGTCTACACCACTTTAGGTGCCTGCCTATTCAAGGGGCTGTTCATGCAGCAGGATGTAGAAGGGTTATCAGGGGGAAGAAAGGAAGATGTTATCTAACAAACGGTTAGGTATAAAAGCCATACGTAAGACAATGACTGAGAATAATCAATAGAAATGTCTCAATTAAGTCTTTGCAACTACCGGCAATTACCTTTTTTCTGGGGGGTTGGGATTAGTTTCATCCTAAGGATTAATACTTGTATCGTCGACATTGGACAGAATTGAGAAACGGGCAACATAACGTTGACTGGTCTCCACTGGTTGGTTTATGCGATGAACCCCAATACTACAAGAATTTGAAACAAGTTTATTTTTGATTTCTATTATCATGGAGTTTCGCCAGTAATTTGAATTATGTGGGGAGAAAAGAAGCACTTCAACTTGGGAAACTACAGTAACAGATGGGGATGTAGTCGTGCACTCATCTTTAGGAATCCATTGGTTGCCCAGTGACCATATGTTTGTTATACGGTGGGTTACATAGTCTTATCTTTTGTTTACAAGTGGTAGCCTGTTTCATCTCTGCTCATTTACTCAGTCACTGATTCTGTCTTCTGAAATTCATTCGCATTTTAGGTTTACAGATCCTTCATTATTCGAGTATAGCGACTGAGTAAGTATTACGTATATAATCAAATATCTACATGTCCAGTCCAGTTTATTGGTCATCTGAGTAAGCAACCGTCCAGGGGAATGATAAGGCCGAACCAAGTAAAATTGGGGGAAAAAATCTGAGCGAATTGATTTTTCACGGTCTGTGTGTTGTGTTAATGGATATGGAAAAGTAGTATCATCAGTTTTCGTCAGCATATTGACGATTATTTTGAAAGATAATGGTGTTACATTGTAGTTACCAATGTCCGCACGGAACCTGAGGATGAGAATAACAATAGAAAATAAGACTCTCTGAGGTGACCAATAGTCTGCCTGTCTGGGGTCTTCGAGATCATGCGAACCATTGGTTCGGAACTCTTAGTGATATACCTTGGAATTGATAGTAATGGCACAAATATATACACTTTTTGGAATTGTGAGCATTCTTTCTTGTCCTCATTTGTTTCTTCTTCCACCTATCTCACACTTTCGTAGATTGTAGTGTCGTCCCCATCCTCCTCTTCATTTCTGGGTCGCATGTTACCGTGAAGTTTGACAACTTGAACTGATACATTCTGTGTCCTAGGTCCTACATTGATTCGTCTGTCTATGGTAGTCACCTTTTTAGTGATTTTTTTCCATATTTGTAAAATGAAAGTTCGCTTTATGTAGTTTGACTGCTTCAGTAATTGCCATATTTCTAAAGTGCATAGGACGTTAGCTGGATGACCCACATACCTGACAAACCAACACACTCATTCAGCAGCTTGTGTATGCACATGGTTGTGATGTAGAACCGACTAGAAAAGGAGTCACTCAATAGATCTATCCATCATATCCCTGTGTAGTATGGCGAACTGACACTTTCAGCATCAATGCATGAAGTCCTTGACTGTTGGTGTGAGCCATCTATGGCGATGCAGACTAGGCGGTTAGGGTCCGTGAGACAAGAGGAACCAATGGTTGGAAACTTTAGGTGATATGTCTGAGGATCGATGTCAGTGGCGCAGATGTTGACACACATTATCCTCACACTAAGTGTTATACTTAATCTCACCATTTTCTCATTCTTCCTTCTTCTCTTTTATAACTTTCCACTTCTTTCGATCGATTTTTCTTTCTTCATCTTCAATTTAATGCCTTTTTACTTGATGTGCTGATATGAGGTGTGGTAACCTGGACCATTACGCAGTAATGCCTGGTCCTATGTTGATCTTGATTATGATGACATCCAGTAAAGTATTCATGGTTCATATTAGAACTTTAATCTCATCGCATACTTGTCATAACCGAAGAATTTACAGCACTGATTGTTTAGGTGAACAGCTTGCGTCTATCAAAAATGCAGACTGATATTCAGCAAAAATCACATATAGAAGTGTATAAGTCAAACCACACAGAAAGAAAACTTTATCTTCGTATCAGAGATTATTTGTAGAAATTTCAATGAAAATGTTTCAATCATCACCGGATAAGAAGAATTCTTTCAATTCCTAAAATACCATTTGTCTCTTCAAGGTTTTGGTGTAATTGTTTTTAACTTTTGTGTGACATATTCAAATTGCCTTGGTTACGTGATCGTGATTTGTTCTGATATCATAAATTAGTTATTGAAACTAAATAATATTTCAGGTTGGAATTCATCATGGGCTGATATCAGTTGGAGGAACATTTGAAACCTGGGAGCACTGGATGCCTCTTTCGTCCTAGTATGGGGCTCCTCAGTAGTGCGTACCCAAGACCTTCAGGTTCCTCGGCCAGCATGTAACTATTGAGCAACTAGATTAGAATTTAGTGGTCCATTTTTCCTGCTTCTGTCAGTTCACGATGTAGCACAACGTGTATCCAACGTCGTCGTTGAGTAACTGTCCTCATGTTCGACTTAGTCGGCTCGATTGGTCAAGACCTTCGACCCAGTGACCCAATGGTTACTTGCCGGCCGTGGAACCTGAAGGTCCTGGGTTCGATCCCTGGCGGGGTCGTGGGTGCACACTGCCGAGGAGTCTCATGCCAGGACGAAACAGCTGTTCATTACTCCCAGGTTTCCAATGTTCCTTCAACTGATGTCAGTCCATGATGAATTCCAACCTATAATAAATCTGCACAAACCTCCAGATTAAATAATATTTATTGTTCAGGCGACAAAACACATGAAATTGATATTGGACCGACAAAATCTCTTAACATGCAAGATAAGTTATGGAAAGTAAATGCAACTGTTAGTTATTTTGTAAATATCTAGGGGCGTATTGCCAGAGGATAATTAGGCCCTCGTAAGGTACCTTAGTTATTGCATTCAGTACAGTTCAACAACTAACTTGTCTGAGACTCGATACTTCATGTTAAGATTGCTTACCTTGTTCAAGATTAGCAATATAATGAAGCGCAATAGTTCACGTTATTTAAACGACTAGTTGAAGATAATAACCGTTCACTTCAAAAAAATCGCGTTCTGCAATGAAGGGATTTATTCGAATAATATTACAAACGACCAACAAATTCTGATCTATTGAAGATGTGACATCGGTGAAATGCTTACAGTCACTTAGCGGTATTCCATTTCGTCATTTTAAGTGTATTATGGCAGTAGCTGACATCGAAGAGAGTACCAAGAAAGTGTATTATTCTAATCAAGACTCAGAGGTTAAAATTACGCAATTATATGAAGGCAAACGGATATCTGTCATACGAAATAACGACAATCTGTAGTATCCGTCAGCGATGTCCGCTACCGTCATTGATCGTTTTTTAACTTTGTTGTTACTGTGAGACTAGGTACCTCGGACTTTTCAAGTGTTGATATACTTCCGAGAGGGCACCTAACTGTTTTAAAGTATGCAGATGACATGATACTGTCAGGTGAAGATGCAGACAAAATGCAGTGGATCGTCAAAGATTTCCTTCGAAAATGTAATTTTGGTATGTACTCCACGCTCATAAAAGATAAATTGATGCCTCAGGATTAGTTTATACAGAAACCTAGTTTTAATGGCAAGGAATCGGATAGGTTAGTCACTACACTTATCCTGAAAGTTATATCAGTCCTCACAAGTTAGTTACTGATAAAATCACAGTTCTGATACAGGAAGTGTGTTTGGCATTTGCCGGCACATATTATCTCTGACGTAAGCAAGAGGAAACTGAGGGTTTTTAACCATCACTTTATTCGTACCGCTTCGCACGTGTAGTGACACTACCATGTGAACAATTCTGGGATCAGATGTAGTTTACTGGGGCGGAAAGTGAAGTCATTCGAAGAGGTTAAAACTGATGTAGCTGGGACATGTGTTTTGCATTCAAATCGAGCCTGATGCGTGGTTTTAGACAAACAAACAATTTTTTGGATGAAATTCAAAGGTGGTCAGAAGAAAAACCACCTATTACTGAAGTCTGAAAATTTGTCTGAGTCGTGCGTAAAGGCTGCCTGACTGGAGTATTAAACGTGACAAGAATCTATGATTGGAGACTTGATTATATAACTCAGAATGTGTCACATTATTCTACTCTTACATTAATTCTTTAACTGTTCCTGAATTGTAGGGAAATTTGTCTTGAAAATGTGTTGTCCCCTAGGAAAAATGGATTATTTTGCACGCTACATCTAAAGTTCGATGAAGGCTAACTTGCTACTAAAATTTGTGTCTCTGAGTGTACTTAATAACCTATATGGTTCAGAGACTTGGTGCGTTACGAAAAGCATTTCCAACAAACAACAGACATTCATCAACAGCTGCTGCTTACGCTCAATCGATACTGGCACTGAAGACTAGATGGGCAGAATTATAAGAATAAGCGAGGAGGAACTCTGGCTGGCTGGCAACGAACCAACCAAGAACCCATCATCCAACAAATGCAGCAGAAGAAAGTGGAGATGGATTAGATATACACTGAGAATACCGATTGGGGACATCATGTGCCAGGCCGTCGAGTGGAACCCGCATGGGAAATGACGAGTTGGGCGTCCGAGGTGAGGGTGACTTGGAGGAGATCATATGAAGAAGAAATGAAAGCTTGCGGGCAGTGGTGGAGCCAGGTTGAGCAGACTGCAGAGAACCGAATGGAATGGCGACGTGCTATTGAAGCCCTATGTTCCATCAGGAACTCAAGGGACAAATAATCATAAAATTAATGGTCTGAAGAATGTCGTTAAACAGGTTCAGAATGTTAAGAAAACGTTCAACACTGAGTGTTGGTGGAAAACTAGTTTGTTCATTATTGCAGATAGTTTATTGACTATTGGATCTATGTGAGTGTGTGAACATCTGTTTCTAGTTCATAACCTATCATTCATCTTGATCACATGATACAATGATAGCTGTGTTTCGGAGAAAACTTTCAATACCGATCCGGTCTGCAGTTAAAGATCGCTGACTTAAGGATCATTTATGTATTGCCAAGATTTCAGGCTATTAATGACCTACTTTAGACCTGGGCACCTTGTTGGTAAGTGACTTTCGGTATGAAATCCAGACTGAAAAGTAATTCCCGCTTATAGATGTCTATTATTTAATCTCAGCTTCAGTGTCACTTAACTATGTTTACTGATAACATTACAAAAGTGCTAGGTAAATTTCTATTAGCTCTAAGGAACCGAGAATCCCATTGGTATTTGTCAACAGTTGAGTAATACAACACACATGAATTTGTTAAATGGTAATCTGGGACTTGAAATGACCGCGTATAATTTAAATAAACTGTAATCCAACTTGGAATTGATCATTGAGCCTAGTGTATACTTTTTAGTATTATGAAGTATTGAATAAACACCATCATGTGACTGATTTATGTGATGTATTTTTTGAGGGTAAATATTTGTCACAAGAAACAATAGATATTGAGATCATCTGTGATTTATTCATATTTTTAAGCGTTTCAATGAACAGTTATATTTTAATTATGACAAAATACTGATCAGTTACTGTCCGATGAGTGTCAATTCTATGTGATGTGGTACAGAAACGATCTCAGTTTTAATCCAAGCCGTTAAATCATATTTCGTTATTAGTCAAATTTTTATTCACTTTATTGTTATGGTTTTCTATGACTTTTGATTTTATTTTACTGTTATTGTTTTTTTCTGCCTGATATCTTGATGAACTGGTGTGAGTTATGACAACTTGGACTGTTGTTACATGATATTGCCAGGTTCCACACTGTTACTGTCTGACTGACTGATCTCTTCACTAATCAATAAGATCCTTGTCATTTTAAAAGCCTGTCATTATAACAGCTAACCACTGTGTCAGCTACAATGTCGATCACAAAAGTAACCTAAGATAAAACTCAGAAAATGGCGCTTTTAAGTTTATTAGTTTGAAAAATATGATAATAATGTTGAACTTTTGTGTGGAAAGATATTTGTTTGACAGTAGTTTAGCTTATTTTGGGAAATATCTAAAGGTACACCATTATGATTTGTAGAAACGAAGGAAAAGAGACTCCATTAAATAACTAACTTTTCATGTCTCCTACATCTATTAAAGTTTTACTGTCAGCTGTTTACTGTAAGTGCGTTTAGAAGTAAATGACGACGAAAGCCAAGTTATCCACGTGGTATGTGAAGTTTTGTTTAGGCTCTTTGTCACTGGCATTACATACATTCACGTAATATGATCAGACCTTGTATTACACACTTCTGCCCAACGGGAAAGCGACTGAAAGCTTGAATACATTGTCATAGTTATCTCGTAGGCCTTAAAATCCATCGTTTACCAAGAAAATGGTACACTTCAAAGGTAGTAAGTGGTTTTGTGGTTTACTTGGTGGCAGCTATCAGTGGAATCCAGTTTGGGCATTTCGTTCTATTTAGGACTTGTCAGCTGGATATACCTACAAAACAGTGGAAGATGGTGTCACCACTGAGACTGGACCCCACTGTTCACTGTTTCAAACGCAAAAGCGTTACCCACTAGGCCAATGAAAAGAGATAACAAGTGATCTTACTAAAACAATGTTCACTGTCAGAAACTCAAGTGAAAAGTGATGGAAGAAAGACGTGACGACGGAATACTTATCAAAAGTAATCTGGGACTATAAACCAGTCCATATATTTTTGATCATCTTACTGGTTTTCTGTTTCAGAAGTCCACGATATTAATATGCACTATCTCAATCATTTACTTGTATATGGAAGGCAAGCTACACCACTGTGTGTTGATCATGACACCCATATAGCTGCTTGCTAGTTTGTGTTTGATGAACCAACGTTTCCATCTTTTTTGGTAAAGTTTTTTTCACTAGTGACAGGAATCATAATTTCAATATCTGTTTAACGAGCTTGTATAAGCCAGTCAGTTTCTTGGTGTTTACTTCTATGTCATGCGGAACGGTTCAAGGTCTTTGATGGATTCCAATGCAGTAGATCCAGCCACTCGTCTGCTATAGTTCTGACGTACTCAACAGGTGGTTAGGTGTTGGTTAATTTGCCTGGAATTGCGGTGCATGAGGGTTCTTCAAGTGTCCAGTTGCCAGACAGTTGTTCGGAGCGGTTGCAAGAGACAGTTAGGGATAGTGGAGAGATAACCTAGGAAAACAAATGTACGTGAGTAAAAGACAAAGAAAAGCTAACTGACTAAATAATTTACGTACACCCAAGTAAGACGAGAGGGGTGCAAAGATATGTAGAACTTAGGTGGGTGAGGCTAATTCATAGCGAGTAAGAAGGATGAAAAGGGCTTAAATGATTAGAGTAGGAAGAAACCTGGTGTAGAGGAAACAGTGTTCGAATGGTGTGATAACAGTTGATTACTTCTGTCTGGTTCGTGTTCCAACTAGATGAGCGTAAACTGTGGGTCACTGCGTGACTGTCTAACCTTTTCTTGAAACCATCAACAGTCGGGTAGAGACTAACTCTGCTAGTAATGCATTTCAATGCCCGCAGACTCGAAGAGAGAAGAAATGTGAACGCACACGAGTTTTTGACCCTTGGTTGGCAATTCTTTTAAAGTTTTCAAGAGGATCACCGTGGTGGCCACTCGGTAGTATTCTTCTGTTCAGGTGACTTGGGTTATTCAGTATTTTGTAAGCCGTTATCAAATCACCTCGTAACCTTCGGAAGTAAGAGAGTACAGACTTAGGTCTATTAGTTTATCCTCTGATGGTTTCTGGTGCATTCTCACAACACCCTTTGTGGCTCGCCTCTAAACTCTCTCCAGGAGGTCCATGCCTCTTTTCAGATGTGGTGGAGAGAAGATGTTATCGACCTCCAACTGGGATCCTATTCAGGTCTTGTAGATTTTCAAGAAGAGCTCGGGGGTGAGGGCACTTGACTGATTTTTTGTAACACCTACATAATTGTACTTTTGCATGATGCTTGTTTCCTTGTTATTTCGTCTGGATGAAAATGGGATGTTTATTTCGAGGCTCGTGGAATCGCTTCACTTCAAAGAAAGTGGGCCAGAGTAAATTGTACGAGGCTAATGAATAAGATCATTCATTTCGAGCAAACTAGCCAATCATAGGTGAGAAGTGAAATCGATTATTCAACAATGATAAGTGGATAAACTGTCATCCACGTTACGGTATCAGGAAATCATTCATGTGAATATTTTCTAAAGTTTATTATTATTTTTTTTCCCCCTGGCTTCCTAGTGGAACATAGGGCTTCAGTAGCACGCCTCCATTGCATTCTCTTTTCTGCAGTCTTTTGGACCTGGTGCCACGACTGCCCACAAGCTTCCATTTCTTCTTCACATGATCTCTTCCATGTCACTCTCCAATGCCCAACTCGTCTTTCCCCTTTGAATTCCACTCGAGAGCCTGGTCTGGAGCGTGATGTCCCCAATCGGCCTCCTCAGTGTACGTCCAATTCAATCCAATCCATCTCCACTTTATTCTGCTGCATATTTGTTGGGTGATAGCTTCTTGGTTGGTTCGTTCCCAGAGTTCCTTGTTGCTTATTATTTCTGACCGTCTGATCTTCAGTATCTAGGCAGCGGGTGTGGAAGTGCTTTTCGTAACGCGCAAAGTTTCTGAACCATACAGAAGCACTGACTTGACGTTGGTGTTGAAAATCCGGATCTTGGACTTTGTGCGGAGTGCTGTAGATCTCCACACTGATTTCAGGCTAATGAACGCCTGCCTTGCTTTTCCGATCCTGGTTTTGACATCCTCGTCTGCACCGCCGCCACCCGTAGTTGAAACGATGCTGCCTTGCCTAGGTAGGTGAAAGAAACTACTTTCTTTAAGTTTCTCCCGTTAATGGTGATTGGTGCCTCTGGTTGTTGATGTTGTTTTTGGTTGGGTATCTTCATCGCCTCCGTCTCCTCTACATTCACCTGGAGTCCCGTTTTCTCTGCCTCTTCTGTTAACCTAATAGTTTTCGCCTGTAGATCTTCCAGTTTGTGCAACAAGACATTAGACATAAATCATCATCGGCGAAATCCAAATCTTCTAGGGTGTTCTCATCGTTCCAGCGTATGGCCATCTTCTCGCTCTTCATGGTTTGCTGCATGATCCATTCCAGTCGATCACAATCATGAAGATGATCGGTGATAATAGGCGGCAACTTTGTCTTACTTCTGTCTTCACTTCATTCATGTGAATATTTTCTAAAATAGTACCTATTTTATTTCATTCAAAGTTAATTTAAAATGAAAACATTATGATCTCACTCTCATTATAAGAAGTTTTATTATTTCACATGAAAATGTTAAATATGCAAAGTGAATGAAAATATCTATTCAGAGTTGAACTCTAGAAATATGAATCTTTCTGGACATTGTTTATTTTCCTCGATTTCATGTGAAGGGCAATCAATGAATTCAAGTTGTGGATTGAAACACAAACGAACTTCATCCAATTTTGCCAATCGATTCTATAAAAGTATAATTTCCATATAAATAGTTATATTATTCATGAATTACAATAAAAGCTATTCATATGACAGAAATTCAAGAGTTATGGTTCGAGTCCAGTCCTGTGGAAGTAATTTAGACAATACAGTCTAAATGTATTAGTTTTTCAAGTTTTTACACTGTCTCAGACCTGTTTTCTAATAGCTAGCTCTCTGATATTTTCTAAACTGGATACCTGTGTTTGATTGGTACATCAAGCAGAAAGAAACAAAAATATTTTCCTAATGGATGCGAGGAAATCAGTTCATTGGAATTAGTTTTTGAACATTTTTTTAACAGCAGGAAGCCAAAGACTTTGGTTTCCTGTTTGTTTCTTTTCTTCAGCAAGGCATATCCTTAACCTTAATGTAACTGAAATTTCTCAAGGGATTCAAACCCACATAACCCAGTGCCGCAGTTTGATACGCTGCCGCTAAGCCATTCGATTCATGAATGGGCTTTATGTAAGACTAGACTGGATACACTGGTTGATCACTAGAGTGTGAAAATTTTCATCCTTCTTAGTCTAAATTGTTGTTCGAACTCTGTCAGTCTCTGACTGAACCGACGAGTGACATGAGTTCGAATCCTTTGAGGCATATCACTTCCCTCAAGTATGCAAACATATCTTGCTAATGAGTCCCAACAAACAAGAAACCTGGGTCCAGGACTTCCTGCTGATTGCCTCCAGTCATCTAACACCAATCACAGTGCACTACGATGGTGAGCTGGCTAACTTGGCTAATATATGACAAAATGATCGATATTATTCTGTTCGGACTCAGAGCTAGACAACATGAAATCACTGTTCAGCGACTAATCAATGCATTAGAATATATTTTCGTAATCCATATGAAGAGAAATAACGCACGGTTACTCCCCGGCCAATAGGTTATACCTAGTGTTTATGCGTTACTGCTGTAGCCTGACGTCATAAACCACTATTGATGGAGGTAGAGTTTGAGCACATGTCTCACTGGTTGAAGGTTCCATCTACTGATTGATAAGGCACTGAAATAAAATTTGTGAATGCTAGCGATTCAGTCTTACTCATTTCTGAAATGGATTTTACTAGTGATCAACCCATTTTGATTCGGAAAGAATATGCATGCATGTCCGAAACGAATGAAATGCAGACTGCATACTCTGTCACTGATCATGCAGCATAAAACCGCACCATCAGTTCTGAATTCACTGAAGTGTGTCAACGATAATTATTCCATGTTCATGACAAGACAACTTGTTTTGTCTAGTGTAATCCAATGAAAATAAAGTCTAGATAGCTCAATTTTTGACGATAAAATGTTACCTTTCTCACTTTCAAATACACATACTACCAAAATAAAACGTAGATGAGTGGTTGTTTCAAAATTTGAATATATCTCTCTTTTATTAATTCAGCATTTATATGGTTTTCATTATAGTCGGTGTAAAATTTACGGTCAAGCATTGCAGTTTGAAAAATACTTCAAGTTGTCAGCTTCTTCATCTGGTTTTACATCCACAATGTTTCAAAATAGTAGTAAAGTGTCTATGCTTGGAAGTTTTGATCATAGGTCTATTCAACCTGTTACATATACAGTTGGTCATTACATGTGAGTAATTCACTTACGTGCTTATGTCTATGTTTGTGTGTACAGGTAAACAAAACACGAACATTGTAGGCTTTTTTCAGTGCTTCAGAAAACTGATTATTCTGTGAATATAAAATTACAGAAAAAGATTATCTGTTTGATAATATATTTTACACATCGTATAAGGTGTATTTCTGCTTGTGTAATCCCGGCGTAGTATATTAGAACAATTGACAAAATAAACAAATATCTTGTATTATTCCTCAACATTTCGATCTTGCTAGGACGATCCTTCTCAAGAGTATGAATCTGACGTTAAGTTTTCTGGTTAATATTCAAGTTTTGGTATAGAAGGTGGTGACCTTTACGACAGTCTACTTACATCGTGATATGGAACAAAGATCAATGTAATACAGGTGAGTGAATAAGCAAATCGGTCACAGAAGCCTTTTTCAGTTATGCAAGTAAGGTGGAACAAAAATACGGTGGGGAATTTTAGTTCAACTATGAAAAGTACAATGAGGTTGTGAGTCATCAAGGCTCTCTGACCGGTTTGCTTATTCACTCACCTGTATTACAACTGATCTTTGTTCCATATCACGATGTAAGTAGATGGTCGTAAAGGTCACATTCTGTACTAAAACTTGAATATTAACGTGAAGACTTAATGTTCTAATATTATACTACGCCGGGATTACACAAGTAAAAATACACCTTATACGATGAATCATACTAACTCGTTTTTTCAAAACATCCAGTCCATTGTTGGTCAGGATACCTTCAAACCTATTTTATAGTTGAATGGGGCGTGAAGAAAAAGCTTTCATCCTAAGTTGACATCAGAAGAGAAGTAATGTAAACAGGAATTATCCCACAGGCTTTTGGAATAGCTTATTAAGTATGAAGACGTTGGATTTAATCCTGCATGAGTTAACTAGTACACTTCCCTTAAAACGAAGATGAGACAGTTATCCAGTGCATTTTAGTTTCCGATAGTTCTCCAGAGAAGATATTACATAAATCTTATGGTGTTAACATGGTAGTAATAAAATCAAACTTGATTAGTCATTGTGCGATGAATGCTTTCTACCTAACTCAAAACTTGTGCTCATGATCTGGCGACCTGCTTAAACTTTGGGCTATCTAAACTTTCCACCGAATTCATTTCATCAAATTCTTTCCTTTCAATTTGTTTTGATCTTTTAAATATGTAGAAGTAGTATTCGTTATGGACTGATATCAGTTGGGGGAACCATTGAGAATCTGGAAACAATGGACAGGTGTTTCGTCCTAGTATGGGACTCCTCAGCGTTACGTACCCACGACCCGGCTAGGGATCGAACTCAGGACCTCCGGGTTTCACGGCGGATGCGTTAACCATTCAGACACTGTGTCAGTTTTCAGTGGTTCACAATTTCCAACTTCTATCAATTCACGATATAGCGTGACTATCACCTAAGGTCTTCAGTTAGCATCCGCTTCACTTCCATACTAGGACGAAACAACTGTCCAGTGCTCCCAGATTCTTAATGGTTCTTCAACTAATATCAGTCCATGATGAATACTACTTCTAAATTAAAATCACCATTCATTTTAAAAATGTCTTTTGAACATGTCATGTAGTCTTGCACAGTTTTAAATTGATTTAAAACTGCCGTTTTTTAAGCTAACAATAAAGCAAAGAATAAATGATATTCCGATTGGGTTATAAATTCACAGAAATACACTTATATTACTATTCCTTGGATAACTATGTTGAATTACCGATTTGGGTACTGGCTTAATAAATTACGACTAAAAAAAATTACTCTCGATATTCTATTCATCTACCAATTCAAACCAGACGCTTATGTAATATCAAGTGCCTGTTTCACATTGTGGCTATTATTATTGTTATTATTAACATTATTCAAATGGAGTGATTATTTCGCTTTAAGATATTGCACAGGGAATGAATTTTTTGAAGCGTTGTATGTTTGAGAACTCCACACGTGTTGTTTGGAACGGGGCTTTTATTATTATCACTAAAATTAAAATCCCCCAGTGAGAACTAGAAAACTTTAACGCAAAGCTTAATTAGCTTTGATAGTCTTTGTAAAAATGTTTGGGACAAAATTAGAATTGATATCTCAGAATTTTTGTATACCTGAATCTAACTTCTAAGCCATTACCGTCAAAAAAATCTACAATTCCAGATTTTAGGCCTTAACTTCATGACTTACTCCAAAGCATTAATATGACTTCTCATTTTTCACTAAAGGAAAGCGGTTTACAAAATAAGTTTACCACTGATCAGCGGCGTTAAAAATAAAGAGCTACTAATGTCGAAAATTAGTTCATGGTTCCGTTATCTCCGATTACTAACTTTTTGTATGACATAGTTTTATAATTCTGCCAGAATTTATTCCTGATAACCTTGGATAACTCTGAGTAACTGTTACTAAAATTACCACCCTGCTAGAAATTGAGTGTTAGAGATAATTTAGTAGAGCGTCAAACAGGCTGTTTTACAAATCCAGTTGCATTCGTAAATATTCATTCACCATTCGATTCTCCAAAAACATCGTAATCGAACATCAATCTGATGTTCATTAGTAACTTGTTGGTAGATGAAATTTCTGAGTTTCTATTGAAACGTCATGACCTTTCTGATCAACAAAACTACTGGGAAAGAAAATTAGTGAATAATGATATTGGACGATGTCTGCTTCATATCGCATACTGAATCAGTTAGGAAAGGTGGTCCATTTAATTCCAGCCTAATGAATAAATGTAATCATTTCCACTGTAAGATGTGACAATTTCGGGTTTGATCTCTCATGAAGTCTTAAGTTCGCATGATTAGGGATTCTCAAACTACCATGAAATCCAGGTTGAATACTACTAGGCTTTAAGTGTTTCTCTGGTTGACGTCACTCAGTGGTAATAAAGCCCTCTGGGGTGTATTTATCCTCTACAAACACTCATATTGAATGTCTCCGTTGTATCGTGGATTGAGCTTAGTTGTATTGGATCAATATTTGGTGGTATATCACAAATATTTACAAAGATCACATGACATTATGCAAACCAGTTGTTTGAGAAGTTATTTACGGCTTCGAATCAAAACTAGTGGTGACTATATTGTAGTTTCTTTACGTCTTCTAATTTTGAGAAGTAGTAAAATCTATCGAATACTTTTGGACACATTTTATGTGAGTGCAGTTCACTTTCGTATTATCTTGAGGTTTCTCATCTCCCTGTTTTCCTCATGCTTTTAATGTTGCTATTTGATGTATATTTCTTGGTGCTTAACTTGTGCTGAGCTTATGTAAAGTAAATTGGTGCGATCGAACTGTAGTTTGAGTTCAGCCAACTGTTGATTTCATTTAAGCGCAGATGAGAATGCACTGGAAAAAATGTTGGAAGGATCTTACATGAATTGTAATGAATACAGTTGATGACATTCAATGTCATCCGTAAACAAAAAACATTGAAACCCATCACTATGGTATCGCTCCTGTAACGTAATCTTGGACGTAATAACTCGTGGATAAACCTGAACACTTTCGAATGGTAACCAAAAGTGTTTGTTTCAGGGATTCTGGGCACACTGGTATCTTGATTATCATCTATATTTGACTTTGTACGGTCTATTCACGATACATTTGATCATTGTCTTCCATGTTATTACCGTTTCGTATCCCATCTTAAGCAAATTATGTGGATTGTTGGTCAAAATAATCAGTACAGAGATGTATGCTTGATGACTACGCATCTAGTTTCAAAATAAGCATCACTTTCTTTGAAACTGGTTGGACCTTTGGATAGCTTACTATGTGAAAATTATTTTACGGGTTACTATCAAACAGGTTATATGAACTTTATCACAAAACCAAGACACTGAATTATCGGACAAGTTTTAAAATGTGCTCTCGTAATATTATAGAATTAAAAAGTTGACGTACGTCAATTGGTTTACTGTTTTCCGGTTTGATTCCATACAACTCCAGTTTACTAGAAGGTTGAGAAAAGAGAAAGGCATTTGATTTACCTCTAGGCCTTCCTGGTTGTTATAACCACTTGAAACGAACCAAAAGCACACTACTACAGTGGGTCTTCTGTCTTGACTATCACATTTCAGAGTCAACGATTCAAGTTCCCTATGATTGTAGATAAAACTTGTAGAATAGAGCTTACAAAGCAACTAGCCAAGTAATTGTGCATTGTAGTTAGTTGCCTAATCAGAAGCAATAACTGTTGAATGGTTACCGTACTCTGAACTCCCCAATGAGATGGGAAAATTGTCACGCATGTTTTCAAAGTATTCAAATCAGTAGGTAGTTCATGTACACTAGATAGGTTTTTTGCATTACCAGGCTACTCAGGTAATTTAAGTGATATTTCTCTACCTGAACGAATAACTTACCTAACACTTATTGAGATCTGTCGTGTACTACTATTAATTTGCACCAGTAGTATATTTTGTAATCAACTATTTTATCGACACTTGTAATAAGCTACCGTTTCAGAAAGCAATTGACTTACTTCAGTAGATCAATCTTCTCCTTCAAAACCAATGAAGTATTAAAATAACCAAGCTCATTATGAATTAAGATGTCTTCCGTTGCACATTGTCCGTGTTTATACCATTCATGTTCCCTATCAGTTAGATAGTAGAGATAATAAACTTCATGTAGTTTAAAAGTGAAGTATTGATTGTCTGGTTATAAACTATTACGGAAAAGCTGTTCAGTGCTCCTAAGTTTTAACAGGCTCCCTAGGTGATGTTGGACATTAGTAACAACCTTTAGAAACCAATTAGTCATCTAGAAATCTGTGAAACTAAAAGATGAAACTTAGTGATCAGTCATCCATCAGCGTAGTCTTTCGATGTGATGTCTGATATTACACAATTATTCATAAAATTACGTTAACGGTTGGTTTTTTGACCCGTAGGTCATATTTTTACAACTTCTGTAGATAAAAGGAAAGTTCTCATGATTTACCTACATGGAAAATAAATTTACTAAGAACCAGAAACTTGTGGTTTAGTTCAAGTTAAGATTTCACTAGTTAATCGTAATTTTGGATTTAAACAGTGACGTTGTAGCTGTTCAGTGTCACTTAGACCTTTCTTTTTTGCTTGATGTCTGTTTGATACAAATTCACACATTGTAAATTGTTTCAACCATCGGGTAATCAAATGACCATTATTTAGTGGTCTTTCATTCTCATTTGCTTTCTACTTCAGCTAAGCCATACAATCATTTGTAGGCTTTTTTTTAATATTTCCTCCAAGTTCTGTTGAATACTTTCTTCAATCATTTTGTTTCTTGCATGGATTTGAACGAATCACCTAAAATATTGTTTGCACAGTAAGATGAATTCATTTCAGTCTGTCACCTCATCCTCGTTATGGTGTAGGTAGCTAAATCTCAGTCTATAGAATAATGAGGAGAACAAGCAATATACAACCTCAAAATAAGACTTTATTTACTCCATCTTTATAATCTAACGTTAATAACGTCTCTCTGTGGTTACAAATACAACTCTGAGGGATTTTATTTTCTGATGGTATAACCACATTGTAGTGCATACAACTATCTGAATTAGAATGAAACAAGTAATGACTGAAGCAGTAAACAGTGTTTAAACTATAATAAGAAGATTATGAGAGACAGTAGACTGTTTTATCACGGTTTCTAAAACAGTGGGGATATTCAAGGAAAACTTTTAAATGTTATCCTTTCAGGAAGAACATCATTATTTCTGAATTCTCCTGAATGTACAGCCTTCCGTTGCATTGATCTGGTACCCCACATTAACCGTATAGAAAACAGTCACGATACTGAACAATTCTATATGTTAAAATATAGGCAGATTGGAATGTATGTGAAAACTGCCACTGATACATCCAACTTGCAGTTGTTCCAGTGTATTTACTTCAGTGCCCAACTTGGTAAATGACATCCTTAGGATGAAATATTTTCCCTATGCTTTACAGTCATCAACTGATAGTATTAACAGTTTGACAATAGAGTGAACTAACAAACAGTTATGGCAGAAGGTTTACATTGGCAGTGGATATGGTTGTGACTACATGAGATGGTCACCAATCCCTAACCCACTGGTGAGAAACCTGTGTATATAATCCCGTCCTACGAAGGGGTCAGTTGTTGTGTGAATGACTTAGTGATTAATTCTTTAACTGCATCACTGGCTAACACCGAGGGGACTCTACTTTCTTCATGGTTGCAGATACACCTTGCTGTTGAGTGTCAGCAGGCAAAAATCCTTATTCAAGTAGGTCTCGTCAATGGATTCTCACCATCTAACAATAACGTGTTCTACCTAATCCATAGATCTATCAGCATCACAAAGTAATCAGCTGAAATCTGGCAATCCCACTAGTGACATAATGATTTCTTTTGGGTCAGTAAGTGTTGTAAGTACTGAAGAAGTGTAAGAACAATGCACACTTACACTGTGAAGACAGAATACATAACGAAATTTAACAAAATCAGATAAGTTCTGTAGATTTATCGAAATAATTGATATATATATCACCAGATGCTACTATGAATAAAGTGTAAGTATTCCATATTTAATCTTATCCTCTGAATTAAGCTGTTCCTGGTTGAGTTCAAATGTTCTGATTTAATAGAAGTAATTAGGGACTGCAAGCTAGAACCAAGTTAAAATTGAGCCTTAGATATTGGCATGTCAAAAACCATTGACACTTTAACTTATACTTAGAATTCACACCCTCTTATGAGATATTAATCTAAATAGACTTGGTTATATTGTTACGAATCAGAGTAAGTAAGTGAACTAGTAAGTAGGAAATTCCTTATGGAGAAATATGCTACGTAAAAACCTGCACTTACTTAGTAGTTACTGTCCTTAATTTGTGAACAAATAAACATGCATTAGTGTGAGGAATACTCTCAGTAACGTATTAAGGATACAAGTAATATAAACAGTAAGGATGAGACAAAATAAGTAGAATTCAAGTTCCTAATATGGCTTTTATATACGAGATGAGACTTTTGAGTAGGTTACGATTGGAAATCATCTAAACCTGCAAACTTTAAAGCCAAACGGTTGTAATAAACTTTCTAATTGAAATAGTTTGGTGTACCGAATTGCAAGCAATGATTGTAAGGTCAATACACAAGCCGTAGTATTCCATCAGAAGGTAATATGACTAGCAGAACTTGTAAACCTACTTGTATGAGACAGTATTCTATAAAGTGACGTTATTGTAAATGCTTTCTTAACGCTGTTATTGAGTGGAACAGATAAATTTGTGTTTTCGAAGGAAACTACAATATAGTCTCACAGCTAAGGTACGCCTACTTTTATCGTTCTCATCATAGACTTCAAGACACGTTCATCAATGAATCATAGACCCTACAAAGATTAGAAATACAGAAGTGAACTCAGCAGTAAACACATAAAATCACGCAAAACAGTGCAACAGATTGATCATCTTGAAGAGTCTTTGCAAGGGGCTGATAAAAAGATAAGTGAAAGTTTCATTTGTCAAATCTACGCCAGTTATCCAATAAGAGTGACTTAAGATACATTCATGGCATCTAGAACATACAATAAGTACAGGCTGCAGTACTAAAAAAACTACATGGCAAATTTACGTGACTGCCTTAATCTGTCTATGAGCATTTCATTGTATTCTGAACATTAGCATGTAAACAATACCTTTCACTTCGCGACAAATCTGAAGAATAGATTGACAAGGTTTATTGCTACCTAGACTCTTCCATAAATCATTTATTGGGGAAGATAATGACCTGTATGAATGGTGGTGATAATTTAGACCGATAAACTGCTAACACCTTCATGCGACTCAGCCTGCATGCTATTTTGTGATAGAACTCAGTGTATGAAGTATATTTGGAATTAATTAGCAGTCATGTTTCTCACTTTTATTGTAAGTTATGTGGTTTGTAGCGTAGAAATCACTGCTTCCATTTACACTACAATGAAGCTTTTCTTCAGCATCGCCTATCTTTCCCGTTAATAGAAGGCAGTTAAGTTACAGAAGTTATTGCAGGTAGTTTGACCTGATGAACATAGTTTTCTGGAAAAGTGATTTTATACAGTACACTGTTGTTAACAATAGATAACCAGCAAACTTATTGTAAATCCTTACCAGAATGGTGTTGGGTCCTTGTAGTCTTTCATGTTAACCCATGCAGTGTCAAGTTGACTCCTGATGGCCTGAAACAAAATTGGTGTAATTCCCTTAAAGGATGAAATCAACTCAAATGAGAAAATAGACTTAGATAAAATGAAAGTCATAGAAGGTGTTTTGTCTCATCATTATTTTCGTTTTAATCTTTCCTTATTCTCAGAGTTAGCACCGTCGTTTCCTTAAATCGTAGTACTCTTGATCAGTATTTTTGGCATTAGATAGTCCCATCTCCCTGAAGAAGTTATATTCAACATCTTGTTTCAATCAAAATATGTCGATTACATATGTGTTGATGTTGTTGCTTCTATTTTCCCGTCGTTGAGTGAACCGAATTGGTCAGTCTTTATTGGCACATGGGCTCCTGTAGAGATGCCTCCATACTTCCTGTGTTTCAATTATATATTAATAGCGGGTGGTAGCTAGCAGTGGATAACACTCTGGAGTTTGAAGCCATCGGTTCCGAGTTCGAGTTGGAACAACGTCGCTCACTGAGAGGCAGTCACATCCGGCTGACGAGTCCCGAATGGGACGAAAAAGGCCTCCTGGATTCCACTGTTAGCCATTATCCAGCGTTGATATACATTTATGGTGCATTAACAGTTTCACTTCAAAGAATACCAAACCAAAGTCCTGTATGTTATCATATTGCTTCTACCGTTATCACAATGGTGAATCGTGTGGCAATAAATATTTTGTTTTGTATAGTGAGGTGCTCACATATCCGTAAACAGAGTATTCATGCCATCAAGATGCTGAAGATTATTAACGGACATAAGAATTTCATAAATTTAGTTCTTTTCACAAATGTAGCCAAAGCAAGAGTAATTAGATTTACAGAACAAAGTGGTTTCATTTTTGCAATTCTCATCAGCCTGCCTGATTCTAACGCTTCGGTGATTACTACAAAAAAGTTGCGTAATAACATACTTTTACTATCAAATACTGAGTGATAACAAATAAGTGACGTGCTGGTCACGGAAATTGAAGATCGCTGGTTCGATCCCTGGCGGGGTCGTGGATGCGCACTGTTGATTCCCATAATAGGACGAAATGGCTCTCCAGTGTTCCCAGGTTTCCTTTGTTCCTCCAACTGATGTTAGTCTACGATGAATAACAACTTGAAATATGAGTTACTGTAAATTTAGTAATGACAGAACGAAGGTGGCATACAGTTTCATGTTATGTAATGATGAGTTCCAGAATTGTACAGAAGAGTAAGAAATATAAGAAAAGAAACAATGAATAATGTTTATCACATTGCACAAAGTGAAAAGGAACTGATATCCATAAAATTAAGATCTGCTAAGTTGAAATCAGTAGGCGAGTTAAATTTGAAAAAAGAGATATATACTAAAAGTGAATCAAGATCAATTTACTATCACCAGGGAAATGAGACAACGGGTACACTTTTTGTATGCACAAGTTCAATTGTAAGTGGATTGCAATAGTCACTTCCATGAAGCGTCATAGTAGAACGTTTTTCACACAGATTATTTTGAGACAACGATACGTATCGACGTGATGTTTAATGTTAATATCGCTTCATTCAGAAACAAGTGTCTGGGATTACAAAAGTTAATGTGGTAATCATAGGTGTAATGAATAGTAGTAACTGAATCAAGGATGCGTTTTTCTTCTTATTAGAGACTTGTCTGCTGGTTTTACCTGCCTCCTAGTGACCGATGTTGTGCTCACTAATGCAAGTGACAATACAAAATGTTGAGGTTACGTTGTTTTACTTATGGATTATTCGGTGTATTCATTGGTGAAGTACAAGAAACAGCAGGTTAAAGTAGTGCGTATAACATTATACGCACTTACAATGTAATATGAAGAAAGATTAAAATAGTTTTAAATTCTCAAAGTATCACACTTTATGAAAGGGAATTATTATTAACTAGTCTATAATATAATGGTTTCCAGTCACAAAGCTGTATCTCCTGACTAATGTCTTACAACCAAGTGTAGAATGCACAAACTGAGTTGTGTGATACGATACCGTAGTACAGTATGTTTTCGGGTGGGATGTTCCAAGTTACTTCTTACCATAAAAATATGTCTGCAACTACAGAAACTCACGTCCGATTAAAGGTTTCCAGTAGAACTATTCACTTTCATAATTTGATTTTGCCAGCAAGATTTTCCATCCATGTGAGATCGGAATATATTTACACAAATAGGTCAATGACTAGATCTCAGAACAACATTGATGCTTTCAAGGTTGGATTCATGTAAACATTATTACATGATGTCAACAAGATTGAACTTACCTGTAAACGTGAACTATCAAAAGGTATATATGCACTGCAGTTTGTTGGTTGTTTCCCCGGCCAAACAGAAGGCCTATTAATTATGAATGGAATTTTGGTAAGTTTTTCGATTATATTTTCGAAATTATTCAGAATAAAATAAGCATCAACATTTGTTCTTTTTGTTTTTGGTCTAGAAAAGAGGATATGCTCAATAATTACTATTTACTAAGTTTGGAAAAAACCCAAAACCTTGAGGTGAAAGGTACGATAATCACCATTGTAGAAATATGGACCTTCAACAAGGCATTTGCGTACTTCAGATGTTCGGAAAGCAATAGTTCGAATCAAAATTCCATTTTCAACAACATAAAATCCGTATCTCCTGTAAGTTAGTTAGTGGTACTGGCCATTTGTTAAATATAAGTTGGACAACAAGAAATAGACTGAAGTGATAACTGCTGTCTAAAATTGGAGAAACCAAGCATTCACAATGATTAACTTTTGGCATTCAACTGAAATGAAATGCCGACCGGCATGTTAATACATATGAAAGGATTTTCAAGTTCATATATTCAGGTATTAACATAATTTGAAAGTAGTTCCCCTATCTGACCGACATAAGTTAAAGAATCATAGAAGTCGTGAGAGCCCTGGGTGACTTTTTCGTCTTAGCTTGGAACTCCTCACCAGTACTCACTCATGATCCTATGAGGGATATAGCTTAAAATTATCAGGTCTCATGTCAAGCGCTACAAATCCATGTGTAAATTAATAATTGACTGATCCTCAGTGTTCAGTATCTCAAGAAGTTGTGGTTTATGAGTTCGACCAAATCTCATGTGAGGCAAGTGTCCACCGATGACAACGGAGGATGTTCAAGCTATTTCACCGTTTAGGTAGGTAGTTGTGGGCCGTTCGATTTCAAGCAAGTGGCTATCAGACACGACTGTTCTAAGTTAAATTCCTCGCACGATCAAAGGTGAGCCTTACTGAAAAGTTTCAAATTAAGATATGGAAGCTACTCAGTCCTTGATGGTCACTGTATGTCGCGAATGGATAGAAATAGGAAAATGTGAACCGTTGGATGCCAACCAAGTGGCCGAGTTCTTACGTGCTCACCACAAGGTCTGAAGATCCTGAATTCGACCTCTGCTTGGGTCGTGGATGTCCACTACAGAAGAGTCTCTTACTACCGGAAAACAGACTTTCAGTGCTACCAAATTTTCAATTATTCTCCAAGTGGCATCACTGGTGTTTTCAATAATATATGTACACTATTTGTTTTCTGTTATTTTAAAATTAATTTCCTTCATTATTCAGTACGCCTACTATCAGCGGTAATCTTTTTGATTGTGGTCGACTGGATCATGCAACAAACCATGAAGAGCGATAAGAGGGGCCCAAGCTGGCTGAACCGATGAAAAGACCCCAAAGGAAGATTTGGATTTCATCGCTGATGATTTATGTCTAATGTCTCGTCTCACAAACTCGAAGATCTACAGGCAAAACCAACAGGTTGACAAAAGAGGCAGAGAAGACGGGACTTCATGTGAAAGTTGAGAAGATGAAGATACCCAACAACAACAACAAGCACTAATCACCATCAATGGGAGAAACCTAAACGAAGCAGTCTCTTTCACATACTTACGCAGGGTAGCATCGTTTCAACTACAGGCGGGGGCACAGGTGAGGATGTCAAAGCAGCCAGGATCGGAAAGACAGCAAGACAGGCGTTCCTTCATTAATCTGAAATCAGTGTGGAGATCTACTGCACTGCACTGCACTTAGCATAAAGTGTCAGCAACATCCGGATTTTCAACACCAACGTCAAGTCAATGCTTTCATGGGATGGTTCAGAAAGTTGGCGAGTCACGAAAAGCATTTCCAACAAACTGTACACATTCATCACATCAGCAGCTGCCACTTACACTCACTCGATACTGACATGGAAGATCAGATGGTGAGAATAATAAGAATGAGCAAGGAGGAACTCTGGCTGGCTGTCAACAAATATGCAGCAGAAGAAAGTGGAGATGGACTGGATATACACTGTAAAAATCATCCGGAGACATCGTGCCCCAGACCAGGCCAGACCGTCGAGTGGAACGTGAATGGGAAATGCCGAGTTGGGCGTCCGAGGTGAGGATGAGATGTAGAAGATGATGTGAGGAAGAAATGAAAGCTTGTGGGCAGTGGTGGAGCCAGGTTGAGTAGACTGCAAAGAAGAGAGTGCAATGGGGGCGTGGTACTGAAGCCCTATGTTCCACTAGGAACCCAAGGGACAAATAATAAAACAAATTTATTCAATCCATACCTTCTTTTTACAGACCAAATTCTATAGATTTGTAAACTAGACTGTTGATAGACTGAAAGGGAAGGTATGAAGTAAGATTATTTCCTGTGAAACTCTCGATTATATTCTTTTCCCTTTGACGAAATGAAGATAGATATTACTAAGCTTCTTATCTTATGCGTGAATTGACTTAGAAAGATGATAGGTGTTTACTTAGTTCCCTAGTAACTTTGAATTACATGTATACTCTCAAAGTATTCAAAAGTATTTTGTATGAATCAGTTGAGCTTCCCATAGTCTTCACTCTAGACTTCCACCGAGCCCTAACTAATATTTTATAATGCTCACATTTATTTTTACTTTCGTAGAATGAATTCTTGTCTTATATTTCTGTCTGTAGTTGAAACGACATCATTTCATTTTGCCCCAATGTACGTCAAAAGCATAACAATTGTGAATAAATCATGAGCGAATTCTTTTTTCCTATTGCCTCTCATCAGTAAACTATTTCTAGAATATAGAGGTGGAATGAGTGACTGCTATAGTATGAAACTTCGTTTGTAAAAGATCACTCCAGTATTGCTTGACTTACGAGAAATGGCAGACGGAGAACAGGATCATATCTTCTTCTATGCCATTAGGTGGGTTGTCATTGTGTCATATAACTAAGCGATAAAATTCGCTAAAAAGGTTTTTTCTTCAACATAGTACTTCAGACCGGTAATCTGACGATCGCTAGTACCAACCCTGTTACGACATAGGTTTCCATTTCACCTTTAATCACCACTACGTGTCAATATTCTTGTTGCTTGAAGGGTATGATTCGACGATCAACAATCAGTAGCTGTAGTGAAATTCAGAAATTATTCAGCATTCAAGGAAGATTTGATTCGACATGATTTTTCTGAGTCATTAAACAAAAGCAGCCATCTTCAGGGCAAAACGGGAAGCGAAGGAAAACGGATGTCAACCAATGACAATAAGTGATGCTTATGCTGAAAATGTGAAATCTGTAAGATTTATTCAGTGGATAGTTTGTCAAGTGATCGTTACAACACAAAACAGTTTCACAATGATTCCTTTATATAGGCAGAAAGCACAGTACAAAAGAATTTCAAACAGAAATGAAACATCCTTGTCAAATCTATCTGAATTTCAGTGACGCTGTAGGCGATTTTATTTCGAGATGATAATTTTCCTTAAATGAATCAAATTCTAAAACAATTACTTCCCTTTATAAACTTCGACAGAATGATGAGAAGACGTAAATTGTCTGAACCGTGTAATGTATTTGTGCAACACATGTTGAACCATCTGATGGCGTTGCCAACGGAAGTTGTCTACACCCTCTCTTAGCTGACATATTTACGTCACACGTGGAAAACTTACCCGAGAACCTAGATAACCAAGCCCATCCACATAGAAGATATGTCGACGATATCCTAGTTATTTGCAATAACTCAAGTAAGTTCACTTCAATTCTAAACCAGTTGAATGAAGTACAGAACAGCGTAACCTTGAAATGTGTAGAAGAGGACGATGACTGCCTGCCTTTCTTGGATATATTAATTAGTCGACGGCAGGATGGATCCATAAAACGATCTGTCTACAACAAAACCTACATGGACAGGGCAATATTTGAACTGTCATAGCTTTTGTCCAGTTCAGTATAAGCGAGCGTTAGTTAGATGCTTATTTAGTAGAATTTAACGAATATACACACATGATACTCTGGAAGATGAAAGGGGAACACCGAATGAAATACTGCTGAGAACTAACTACCTTTCAAGAGTTATTAAACAACTCAAAGCAAACAGAGTGCCAAAACCAGCTCTCCACTTTGTTCCAAAGAAGGATGTCTTTATCGGTCTTTCGTACAAAGGTGATTTTCATAGCTCAATCTTTGATCAGAGACTTAACGCTGCTGTTAGAAAGACTTACTATACAGCTAGACTCTGATTAATAGAAACCACCAAGCCCATATATTCTCCTGAATCTTTATAGCGTGTGAACAACAATGTCACATCCCTCTGAATCTGCCAATTCAAATGTACGTGTAGTGATACACACATACTGAGGACTCATAGATCCAAACAAGTAAGGGCCTCGGAACATATTCTGAAGTGTCTTCAAAAGCAAGTTAAATTACTTGAACCCATAAATGTTAGTAGCAGATGTCGAAGTTCTTCGATTGCGAAACATATCGTTGAGATAGGTCACAGAATGGACGTGGCTACTTCCTTTAGACCTATTTACAAAACGTGTTGTTGACTGATCCTTAAATTTGTTGAGGTCTTAGATATAAGGAAGTTAAAGACACTTTTGTTTCAAGTTGTTATTCATCGAAGACTGACATCAGTTGGAGGAACAAAGGAAACCTGGGAGCACTGGACAGCTGTTTCGTCCTAGTATGGGACTCCTCAGCAGTTTGTTTAAAAATAATTTGTCATCACATTAAATTCCCCTTGATGAGTTCAACTGTGAAAACCAAGTTCGTTGTACTATTACTTTCTCTCGATTGATTTTCATTGTTATTTGGCCTTTCATTCAGCCTTCCTACTTGACCTCTTTTTATTTTCTCATCCCTTGTCTTCCCAAATTTTCATACAAATACCTATGACAGTTACATGTATGATCAAATGGTTCGGAATTAATTTCTATTTCACTGTGATAGCTGAACAAGGAGAATGGTGAGCAAAAACGACCAGGAATTGTTTTATTTGAATGAATAGTAAAATTATCTCGACCTATTTTCAAATAATATTATTGTCCTGATGTAGGAAAAAAGTATAAATAAATGTTGAAAAGTGTTACAACTATTGCAAATTGCGATAATTGAAATAAGCTAACTTACCACAGTCCATGAATATTGAAATCATTCATTCCAGGGGGTAGTTTACACTGAAAATAGATTTCAAATTAGTTTAGCTTGCATCATAGCTATAATGATGTTGCCTACTTATTCAGGTTAGTATTTTACTTTTCGTATAAGTAAGAGGGAATTAATGATGGATAGTAGCTAACAACTGAATCCAGGACGTATGTTTCGTCCTTTTTGCGACTCATCAGTTGGATGTACCTGAGTGAGTGGTGTTTTCCCCGCTGGGACTCGAACACGAGACCGGTCGCTTCAAACTCTAGAGTGTTATCCACTAGATCATCGGGTCACGATAACCAATATTGGCACGATGGTCTAGTAGTAATCCTTCGGCATTTGAAATGAGCGGTCCCGAGTTCGAGTCCATGCGGGAACAACATCACTCATTGGGAGGCAGGTACATTCAACTGACAGGTCTCACATAGGATGAAACACGCGTCTTGGATTCCACCGTTAGCCACTGTTCATCTTTCGTAAATAATTAAAACACAGGCATCTGTACAGGAGCCCGTATGCTCCAGTAAAGACCGATCAATTTGTTCGAATCAACCACGGGATAATACAAGCAACAACACTTACTAAGAGAGAATGTTCAATAGTAAAGAAAAGTATTTGACTTGGTCAGTGAGGTCTTCTGATTAGGTTTGCCTGATAAGTGGATGGTTGGACATCCTTAGCCATCTAGAAACCTATAAAGAGCCGTTAAAGCTGAAGTCAGTCAGCTGGATGGCTATACTAAACCAATAGAACACAGTTAAAACTTGGTGTCAGAAAACAACACATTGTAACTGATCACGTTATTTATTCCGGTTTCACAGAAACTCTTTTTTTTTTCATTTCAACCTGGTATTCATCACGAATAGCTCTCAGTTGGAAAACCACTGAAAACCGAAGAGCACTAGATAGTTGTTTCTTCGTAGTGTGGGACTGTTCAGCACTGAGTACCCAAGAATACGTCGTGGATCTAGCCCAAGACGTTCAGGCTTCAAGGCAAGTACGTTACAACTGAGCAGCTGGGTTGGTTAGTCTTCTCAAACATCACAATGGTAATTCATCCTGTCATAGTTCAGGATGATATGAGTTGTAGACTCCTCTTCTGACTACAGATGACAAACCTTGTCAAGTGTCTAAACCGTCAAAAACACAGGTTCAAGTCTGTTCACTGGCTGTCTGAATGTGTTCATTTAAAACACAGTCCCATCATGTTAACTGGTTTCAAGTAGTACCTACATTGCGGAATCGATGCACGGATAACGGGCAGCACTGAAAGACAGATATCTAAACCACGTATAGTGTTTATTAGCGAATAAACGACTAAAATTTTATATTAAGGTCAGGTGGAAGTAAAATTCACGCTAAATTAATACTCAAGGCTTGTGAAAAATCATAATGACAGCATTTCTTGGCAACCTCATAATGAGTTTGTTGCTGTCAACCACGGTTTTACATTGTATTTTGGTCAGTCAATCTGTTCATTAAATGAGTAGTGACTACCATTAAAATCTGATCCACCAAATCTATCTTACTCAATGAAATCACTGTAAGGGATGGATTTGGCCTACTTATAGGGATAATAAAGAATGTCATTTGGTTCATCTAGTGTGATTCTGCAACTACCTATATCAATGAGTATTGTATACTATGTAGACCTCATATAAGTAACTGGAAATGAAGGGAACAGTGTCGATTGCTACTCATTTCGCTTGGTAAGCGAGAAGTGTGAAGCTGTTTAAATGGCTGAAAACTACGCATTTCGGTTAGCAGCATATAATCGTGAAAAAAAATATTTCAGCTATCAAAAATGTAAACTGAATGAAAACATTACTTTAACTGAGCTACAAAATGATGGTGGCCAAGACAGCGTAAATACAATATAACTCCAATCACCTCTTTCTTGACTGTATCCCAAGTTGAAGACGGTAGTAGTAATGGTCAACAAGATCAGGTGGATAAATCTACAAATCATATGAATAGTTGCTGAGAATTAGCTTACACATAAGTGATGCCCTACTATAGTGATTGGTCAAAAGAATCATGGAGTAAAAATGATAATCGAGGTTAAATGCATACAACAGTCTTCCCCAGTTATCGGCTAAATTATCAGGAGTTAATAAGTTTGTGTGTGAATGTAGCCACATTGATAGTACTAATCACTTCGATCCAAGAAACTAGCCGTGAATGTCGGTGGCATTGATGCTGACCCAATATCTAAGGTTTTGAATCACTAAGATGGCATGTATTTAACAAAATTAATGGGAGGAAATTCCCTTCAGCTATAAACAGCATGCTGTCATTAGTTTCGCTTAATCTGAAACATATTTCAGAGCGTGCTCAGCGTAGTTTTGCAAAAATGGAAACATATGATGCATATCAAGAGAGTATACTGATTTCTGTCTTGAGAAACTGAGATGGTCTTAGGTTACATGGTGATACTCGCACAGAGGAGTTAGTGGAGAATATTCAGTGAAAATCTGAGGGAGATATTTACATTGAAAAAGCTTGAGAAATAACTGATCAAATCACTAGAAGCAAGCACTGACTAAGTCTTCGTTATAGTTTTAATTTATTCACATTCTTTCTGCTTCTGAATTTCTTTCATTCACGTTAATTTTCATCAGCAGATTTTTCGCGACATTAAATGAGATCACTGGATAGCAGCTGAAGCAATTTTCACGGAATGGGAATGGTCAAAATTTACTGATTTAATATCCGGTGTGTCATCTAGTAATGTGGTACAACACGACAAGACAATTTTGCAGTATTGAACACTCTGATTTCACTTTTTGTATATCTCAGATTCCTAGTTGATCATCACCTTTGATTTTACTTGTTATTTCGGAAACCTTCCTTTTGGAAGCAGCATAGTTGAAGGTTGTTTCTTCAATATTTTGGATATTTTCTGTTTCAACAGTATCAGTTTGGAATCAACTTTATTATTTGTGCATTCGGTTATTGTGATGCATGTTTTTCGCTGTCACAAAAGCCAAAATAAAGCCATTTTATATTGCTAATAATTGTTTGAAAAGGGTTCTACAACATATTCAACAATTCAGGTTAGTGCTCATCATGAACTGACATCAGTTGGAGAAACATTGGAAGCCTTGGAGCATTGGACAGCTGTTTCGTCCTAGTATGAGACTCCCCAGCAATGCACACCCACAACCTAGCCTTGTCACGGCTTGAACTCAGGACCTTCAGTTTCCGCGACCAGCACGTTGCCATTGACTCACTGGGTCGATATGCAATGGTCCATATTTCCCACTCTTGTCAGTTCATGATATAGCGCGACTTTCATAAATATCGTGGACTGACAGAAGTGGGAAGTATGGACCCTCGCGTCCCGACCCAGTGGGTTAATGGTAATGTGCTGGCCGCAGAACCTGATGGTCCTGGGTTTACCATCCTGAGGAGTCTCATACTAGAGTAGAACAGCTGTCCGATGCTCGCAGACTTCTGATGTCTCCCCAACTGACGTCAGTTCATAATGAATACCAGCCTGAAATCAATAAGTCCTCACAAACCCCGAAATTGAGTATTCCAGAATAATGGATGAACTTACCTGCCAGTTGGAAAGAAATAGGAATCAACATAAATCTAAGCAATGATGTAGATTCTCGTTGTTAAGCAGAAAACAAGAATTAGTTTTCAAAAGTGATAATCAGCACTTTCATGACTGGGTGTTCTGTATATCGTAGTAGTTATCATATGCATATGTGGGTGTCAAAAGATATTTCTATCTCATACAATCAGTTGAAGCGAAAACTGAGCACCAGGTTTTTCGTTTACATTGAAAACGTATATATCTGCTGGATCAAAATCGGTTTGAAGTGAGCTAAGTAACGAAGTGCACGTTCGTGTATTAAACTTTGAGACACAAGATAATGATACTTCCTAGATGGCTGGATCTCAATAGGTGGTATAAGATTCTAACACGTGGTGCACTAGTTAGAGGTTCAGTGCCTAGACCAATGACTCGCAACCTCTACTGAGTAAATATAGCGGGATATTAACTTTTCTTAAAGAAATTTTGGTATTGATCTAAATTTACTTTTAGTTCGTGAAATCAGCCCATAACTGACCAAGAAAGTGATGATTCAGAGAATTTCTGACCAGAAACTTAAAGAACTCATTGAGGTAAACTGAGTGACTCAAATTTGATTTCTTCTTTCTTCTAACTACCAAAGAAATGATTTCCAAAATGGTCTTGTTAAATAATAACATATCACTACCTATTCTTCATCACACTTTGCCTTTATCTATTTCATCATATATATCAAACTGATCACAATTGGGTAGGTGTAATAACTGGTTTTATATAAAAAATACTAGTAACTGTGATGCAAATGGCTGCTGAAACAAGTAGAGTGCATGTTGACCAAGCTGAAGTAAACATTTTATAGTTAGCAGAGTCCTGGAGATGAATAATTACCTTGGGACACTGATAATGTTGAAGCAATTGGTTCAAATCCGGGCATTAGCTTAAGTTCATTTTACTTCAAACCATAAAACTCTCCTAGATACTTTCAACACAAAACTTATTCATGTCAACATGGATTGTTTGCGACTAAGCTGTATCAGTTGTTCGTTCACACAAGAACAACAGAGTTTGTACTTTAAAAAGATAACATTATCAAGTTGACTTATGCTTTATATATTGACTGAATGACACATTATAACTATATGTTTAAAATCCTTGGTCAACTGGATCATGCAACAAACAGTGAGGAGTGAGAAGAGGGGGATACGCTGGCTGGACTGCGGAAAAAAACCTAGAACATCTGGATTTCGCCAAGCACGACTTGTGTCTGATGTCCCACAAACTTGAAAATCTACAGGCAGAAACTAACAAGTTGTCAGAAGAGGCAGCGAAGGAAGATGGGACTTCAAGTGAATATAGAGAAGACAGAGGTGATGAAGATACCCAACCGACAACAACAGCAACAACAAGCTTCAATCACCATCAATGGGAGAAACTCAAAGGAAGTAACCTCCTTCACCTATCTAGGAAGCACTGTTTCAACTGCAGGCGCCACAGGCACAGACGAGGATGTCAAAACCAGGATCGGAGAAGCGAGACAGGCGTTCATTAGCCTGAAACCAGTGTGGAGATCTTCTGCACTCAGCATGTGGAAGAAGATGCGGATTTTCAACACCAACATCAAGTCAGTGCTTCTGTGTGATGGTTGAGAGACTTGGCGCGCTACGAAAGGCATTTCCAATAAACTATAGACATTCATCAACAACTGCCTACGCTCGCTACTGAAGATTAGATGGCCAGAAAGAATAAGCAACAAGGAACTCTGGATGGTGACGAACAAACCAAGAACCTATCACCCAACAAATATGCAGAAGGAAGTGGAGATGGATTGGGCATGCACTGAGAAGGCCGACTGTGGACATCACGTGTCAGGCCAGTCATTCGAGTGGAAACCAGATGGGAAGCGGCGAGTTGGGTGTCCGAGGTGAGGGTGACATGGAGGAGATCGTGTGAGGAGGAAATGAGAGGTTGTGGGCTGTCGTGGAGCCAGGTTCAAAAGTTTGCAGAGAACAGAGTTCACTGGAGACGCGCTAGTGAAGTCCTATGTTCCATTAGGAGCCCAAGGGACAAATAATAATAAATAATAATGTTTAAAATCCTAATCTAAAATTGTTTAACTAATCCTCTTTATTTGATTCCTAAGTTCCTTCCTTCTTTTATATTCATAATACAACATGAAGTTGATGATATCTTCCATGTGTAAAACGTTGTCACTTCAATAGAAAGTTAATCGACATGTTGAATATTTATTTGTTGCAGGAAGATGTATACTGGGAAGTATGCCATCTTTCACAGTTTGTACACAACATATTCAGTAATCAGAAAGGTGTACTTTCACACGATAGATAGTTTTAAAATGCAGACTGATATCAAAAGATACCGGTTGCATGTCACTTCAGAATGTTTTACTGATTCATACATACTAGCACTCTGAAACAAAAATTTATTCTTCCTACTTTACTGGAGACTGAACGCGTTCATTAGTTCAGTAGCACATGTGCTTGATTAAGAAGATGAAACAAACATTGGAGTCACATTTCAAGAAATTAATAAGCAACTAAATTTGAATATAATCACACTTATAGAGGACATCGTACTTAGAGAGGGAGGGAGGAAAACCTGGTGTTTATACTCGCTGAGGAATTGTGTAATTGTTATAACTGCCTTTATCACAAACGTTTGTCTAACTATTCGCTTCTTACGTTATCGAAGTGAAATCTATGGAGTTTCTTCCGCCTTGGATCTAACAGCCGACTTAAATACCTTTCATCCATCTTAGTTTTGTGAAAAATACAGTTGTTTCAAGGTCGTCTTCACCACCAATTTCAGATATATCAATGAATCCCTGATACTTCATACTCCTTGAATAAACTTAAATAGAGCAAGTTCAACAATTTTGTCACTGAAAATATGACATCATTAAGTACGGCTGTCTCCTTCAGTTGATGTTGGTTGGAGGCAATCGGCAGGAAATCCTGCTGACAAGGACGAAACGTAGGTGTAATCACTATAAAATGATTGACAGAATTCGGTGAGAACTCAGGCCTAGATAAAAAATATTCGTTGCTGTCCAGTAACCATTCAACGCAACTGTTTTCGTCTACTTTAAGGCTCGAATCAAATAGCGATAAACCCAGAAACCCTGTGGACATTCGTGCAGTAGGCAGTGAGCCACATTTATTGTGTGATGGCTAGTGATATTCACTGGCTCCTCAAACCTTAGTAGGTGAAGCGGTATTCAAATCCGTGACCTAAGTCTTAAAAGTCAATTCCCAAAGACACTGACCCACATGTCCACTGCCTAAGGTTCCTAATCAATATGCACGAATAACATCATACACGACTGGATTCTAGACTGTCAGGTATGGTGGTGATCAAATTATCTTTAGGCATTTTAGTTCATTTGTCGGGATTTTTCGGCATGTTCATTCACATTCCGGCCTGATATCCACACCGTTTAGCATATGACTAGGTGCTCACTACAAGGCACATTTTCAGAACCTCAGCAACTTGGATTCATTGTTTTGGTTACCTTCATATTTGTCAATGAGTTAGCAAGGATGGTGAAATTTACAATTCAAGAGCACAAACTTTTCAGTTTATTCACGTTAGAACCTATCATCATTCATTCTTGAAAAGTGAGAAAAAATACTCACAATGAAGTTCCCCATATACTTGCAGTTAAATCATGTTTACTTAAAAATCAGCATCGACTTCATAACAGGAATATTTCACTTACTGTAGAGGTGACATTTTTAAGCTTTGTGAGCCACAATCAAATTCACAGATAAACAAAATATACAAATGAAGTAAATAACTCTTAGCAGAAACGGTAAACATCTACAGTTTTGAATGTTAATATATTTCACATGAGTGAAGGACTTTGTCACTACAACGACAACGAAGAATCAGATACTTAGAAAACTTTACTGATCAATTTACCACAGACAAAGTACAGTCTACACTCATATCATTTTGATATGAGTTATATTTAATAAGAGCTGTAGTAACTTGATCAGATTATAAGTGTTCATATATGAAGGTTCATGTTTTTAATTTGATTCACAGATTTCAATGTACAGTTTATCTCTTTCTTATATTGTGAGCTACAATAGTATCTTGCTTGTTGGTATCAAGTAAATAGTTTTTTTCACACTTAAGTTTCAAGCATCATAATAGACTGTGTGAAGTGAAAGGACATACACAATGAAACTAAATAATGATAATACATGGTAGAAATAAGCCAAAGCAAGTTCAAATATCCCTTCTAAACTATCGAGAAATGTAAACTCTTTCCCATCTAAAACGGATGGGTTTGTTGCACAACGTAATCAGTTAATTTACCAGCATTGTTTTATGCCAGTTAATCCATATTGTATCTCCGACAGACATGAAAACATCGCAAGTAGCATGGAGGTTGAGTATAACAGGTTAATGTTGCACAATAAACAGCAGCTTTTAGGGAAAATCGATGTAAAATAGACTGTAATGACACAATTACAAAGGGGATCCGTTCTGCTAAATTTTGAACTACAGCAAGCATACACTCCACAGTTGTACACAAGCGATTTTCAGCACGACAATTTCCTGACGGTATCTGATGATAACCTATGCGTTCTCAGCGCCACTCGAAATTAATAAGTCGTTACAAAATTGAAGATATGAGATTCTGGTAGTATGTGATTTTTAAACGGTAAACGACAACACATGGTTCTCTGCATATTGCTCTGTTTGTTATCAAATTTGTTTTGTAAACTTACGCTTCCATCTTTTTGTTTGTTCATTCATTCCAGCAAACTGTCATCAGTCTGCTTCTTTTTGACATGTAATCTGTCTTCCTTAACCTCAAGTAACCCCTCTTCTTCGGGAATCCTATTTTAAGATCATCTGTTCAAAGTTCTCAACAAAGCAAGGTGAGAAAAGGAATATGGAGTGAATTCAATGACCATTCTTACTCTCATTGCAGCATAATTTGCAGGGGTTAAGAGAAAGGATTTTGTCGCCAGGTGTGTAAAATATGCGATTGTGTGGATTGTCAAGATTCAAATGTTAGTGACCTTGTTTATCTAACTTGATCCATAACATTTCCAATTTCTGCTTACTACCTAAATGACTTTGAATGCTTTCTAGCCACGCAAGTTTCTCGGTAGTATGTCTCAACACTTCATCTTTTCAGCAATCCAACGAGGACCACTTAATTGGTCGTGGCTAACAGAGAAGTCCCGGATGCGCGTTTCGTTCTATTTGGGACTCATCAGCTGGATGTACCTGCACCGTAGTGATGTTGTTCCCACTGACCCTTGAATCTCGTAGCCGTTGCTTCAAACGCCAAAGCGTTATCCACAAGGCCTCTGAGGTACGATAAACATCTCTTGTACAATGAGTATCAGTTATTACCATTTTTTGATATACTTGCAATTCTCCGTTGTTATACTGGATCGAATATCGAAGCATCCGCATCGGGACTCATTTGACAGCAGAGATCGAACAATTCGATCCAGTAAAACAACAAAGAATTTCAAGTATTTCGATAAATAATAGTAATCTAACAAAGAGTTTAGTAATGTCTTTTTGAGATGAATGGGGGTTTTTAATTTAGAAGTAGTATTCATCATGGACTGATATCAGTTGGGGAACCATTGAAAATCTGGGAGCACTGGGCAGCTGTTTCGTCCTAGTATGGGACTCCTCAGCAGTACGCACCCACGACCCGACTAGGGATGGAATTCAGGACCTTCGGGTTTCACGGCGGAAGCGTTAACCATTCAGCCACTGGGTCGGTTTCCAGTGGTTCACAATTTCCAACTTCTGTCAAATCACGACATAGCACGACTGTCACCCATGGTCTTCAGTTAGCATCCACTTCACTTCTGACTGTTTGACCCCACAGGTCACGGCTTCTCATTAGAACTTCCCGATATCCATCTGGAAGCAAGTCACTAATGAGCACTATAGGGTAATGTATTTTTGAGATGACCTGTGGGGTCAAACAGTCAGAAGTGAAGTGGATGCTAACTGAAGACCATGGGTGACAGTCGTGCTATGTCGTGATTTGACAGAAGTTGGAAATTGTGAACCACTGGAAACCGACCCAGTGGCTGAATGGTTAACGCTTCCGCCGTGAAACCCGAAGGTCCTGAATTCCATCCCTAGTCGGGTCGTGGGTGCGTACTGCTGAGGAGTCCCATACTAGGACGAAACAGCTGCCCAGTGCTCCCAGATTTTCAATGGTTCCCCAACTGATATCAGTCCATGATGAATACTTCTTTTAAAGAGTTTATTAATAAAGTTTGTCACCACATCTGATGATAAAAATGACCATATTTGTATAAATGATATTGAAAACATATTTTCTGCTATATTCAAAGAACTATAACTCATCGGAAAATTGTAGTTTCTGTTTTTGGTCATCCAAATGAGAAGTCATAACCAGTGGGGCAAACGTTTTGAAAGTGAGAACAAATACTCAAGGATGACACTGGGTGATAGTCGCGATGCGTCATGAATCGACAGAAGTTGGAAATATGGACCATTAGATTTCGACCCAGTGGCTCAATGGTAATGGCAGGTCTCGGAACCTAATGGTTCTGGGCTCGACCCTTAGAGGGGTCATGGACACTAGTGGGGAGTCCCATACTAAGACGAAACAGCTGTCCAGTGCTGCCAGGTTTCCAATATTTCTCCAAGTGATGTCAATCCATGATGAATACCAACTTGAAATCAAAATTTAGTTCAGCATAAAATATTTACACATAGCTCAGTGTTTGTTGAAGTGTGTTCAAGCATAAGGGCTCAACTGTTAGACTAAATGAGGTTTAATGTCGAAACATTAGCGACATGAAGTTTTAATTAAAAACAGGCTTGAACTTCATGTCATAGTACCCACATGTAGATGCTGTCATCTCTAAAAGCATATAGCCCGAATAATATTCGGACCAGGAAACACAGTCTGTTCAGTTTCATTTACTTTTTGATGCTTTAATCTGAATCGTAGACATGGATTATATGAATATGACTGTAATGTATCGTATCGTCTACAGTCTCACTCTTAGTCACACAACACTTCAAATCTCTTATCTTAGGAGATACTTAAGGGTGTATGGAACAAGATAACTCCTATACAGATTGTTCAGCATGCTGAGAATGATATAATAAAAAGCATGCACAAAATTATTAAACGATTGGCATAACCAGTATCATTCCTTACCGAATGTTGTTTATCTACACAAATTAAAAGTTGGAATTTCGGATATGATGGCATAGTCCACCGTGATGACAGCAAAATACAACTAGGGCTAAAATAAATAGATTAAATTAAACTAACTGAATAAACCTCTAGCTCACCTCCGGATGCTCTAGGTGCTTTAAGTTTCGTTTTAACGAGCATGCATCCGAGCGAGCTTGGATGCCATTTTACGCTTCCTTAATGCTGGTTAGCACGCACGTACTCACAGTCCCTAGCTCAGCCATTCTAGCCAGATAATTTGAATAAACTTGTACCCCATTCATTACTATTACATTTACTCTAATTAAATACATTACTTCTTAGAATATATTTCCGAACCAGTCCTTTAGATTTGTGTTTTGTTATCAGTACTTACACTTTAGGTAAGGTACTGGTTAAGCAGGCACTAGAGCACATCAAGTTAAGTAGGGTTGGTCAGACGTTACGGAATAGTAACACACTCCCTCTACAATTCAATGAACAAAGATTTTGTGATCGATCCCTTGCTCCCCCTGCCTACATTGGATTTTAGATTAGTCATAATATCTCGCCGTACTGTGTGATTATGGGTCACTATACGCACAGCGATAAACGAGTTTTTCGTCAAATTACTTATCTCAGTAGGGTCTACCGTTGTTTAATTCGCCAAATTTTTGCGTTCTGCTACTCTGACTGACCCAGATTGACTGCTTTGACCTGCATACTTGACCTCATAATTATTACATGGTATTTGGTAAGATATGCTGTTTTTCTCATTAGTCCCAATGGGTCTTATAGCCTACAAGTTTCTGTCTAAGCGAGTTTGTGGGTTTAAATGCTAAGCTTAACTTCCGATGTACCTTCTTTATACGGCGGGGCTACAAAGGATTTTAATTCCCTCTTACTGCAGAGCACGTTGTTTAGTTTCTAATCTCAGTTATTTTTAGCGTATGCATAACAATCAATATGAATAAATAGCCAGGAGATATTTCCATAACGGTGAATCTGAGATGTCATAATGAAACCAGGTATGATCCACAGCCAGTCGAGTGTTTCTGTTGACTCATAAGAAAAATTTCTAGGCCATGTCATAGACACTTAGGTGATGCATTTGTTTAGTGGAAAGATCAAGATTATGAAAAATCTACTTATAGTGTATGAAGCAGGTGAAATAAAATGTCTTCTTGGTTGGCGTAAATATAACCGATATTTTTGGTAGGATTTTTGGAAAACATGGCATCACTGAATCACGCTGATTGAAAAATTGTGACACTCCAACCGACCACACGGTGTCAATAGGCATGCTGTCTCGAGAAAAGTCCCTTTACTTCATTTTGACTCATCCAGACCACTTATTTGCAGGCGCAGCGCATCAAATCAAATAAGCCAAAGAACAAATAGTACTATTCACTAAACACCTGGGAAGTCGAGGGCGTTCTATGAGGCATTCTGTACCAGAAAGCAGAATACTGTGTGCTGAGAACAGAAAGCTAGTGGAAAACTTGAAAAAGCATGCAAAGGAGTAGAAGCAGGGATCATAGAAATGTTCACAAGACCGATGTGGCGTCGTAATCAACAGAATGGCACAAAGATACGACTTAAGTGAAGGAGTGATGCACAGCAATAGTGCTACTAC